TACCCATGCTACGTGTGGAAGGGTATTTAAGGGTTGTGTGGCCGAACTCTAACCCTAAGGTTGAGCGGCAGTAGCTTTGTTCTCTTCTTTGTGAGCTCATAGTGAAAACTCTCTGAGAGCTATGCTCTCCGTGGACTAGTCCCGATCTTCGGGGAAACCACGTAAACCATCGTGTCACTTTTACTTTCCGCAAGCGTTCAGTTTATTTACATGGTATCAGAGCGGTGACGATTCAGCCGTTCTTTGTTCTTTTTCGGCATGGTTAACAAGGACGAGGAGACTAGCGCCGGCAAATCCATCGCTCCCCTGGACGATGGTGTCATCCCGATCAGCTCTCCCCTCTACCTACATCCATCCGAGAATCCTGCCCAGTTGTTTGGCAGCGATTTATTGACAGATTCCAATTATGGTGAATGGGTGAACGACATCACCGAAACCCTGATTGCGAAAAATAAGCTTGTCTTCGTTGATGGATCTTTCCCTCGCACCATGGCCGAATCAGCGACCCATCGTGCTGCATGGGATAGGTGCGACGCCACCGTCAAAGGCTGGTTGAAGACGGCAATGTCGAGGGAGGTTCGGAACAGCGTTCGCACGGCCACGACGGCCTGTGCGATTTGGACGGATCTTCAGCGCAGGTTCAGCAAAGGGACTGCGCAGCGGGCGTACGAGCTGCGTCGCTCGCTCAGTACTTTTCGGCAGGAGAAGTTGTCTGTCTCCGCATATTACACGAAGCTGCGTTCGACTTGGGACGAGATGCAGTCCATAGGGGGAGCTCCTAAATGCACGTGTGCAGGTTGTACGTGCGGAGGTTGCACCTGCGACTGGGTCCGAGCTTACTCCACGCAGCGGGATACGGAACAGCTCTTCGAGTTCTTGATGGGGCTTGATGACGCTTACTCCGTCATTCGCTCACAAATTCTTGGGACTAGGCCGACCCCATCATTGGCAGATGCTTATCAGATGGTTTCGGCTGAGGAGCAACATCGAAACATCACTCATAGCCGCCGTCCGCCTGTCGATACTGCTGCTTTCCAGACGCAGGCGGAGAAAGAGCAACCACGTGATGATCGCGATCGTGAACGGGTTCGGTGCTCCAATTGTAACCGGCTGGGCCATACTAAAGAGACGTGTTACCGTCTCGTGGGTTACCCGCCTGGTCATCCGAGAGCCAAGCAAAACGAGGAACGCCCTGGCTCCTCCACTCGGCGCTCCAAAGCAGCCCATGTGGAACCCGACTCGTCGTCTCCTTTTCCTGGACTGACGGCAGCGCAGTTTGCTCAGCTCAAGGAGTTCCTGTCGTCCTCTTCTACCGAGAACATTTCCGCAGCTACGGCTCATATGGCTGGTAAAGTTTCTGACCTTGATATGTGGTTATTAGACTCGGGCTGCAATGAGCATATAGTTCGTGATCGTAGTTGGATGAATTCTGTAGAAAGTGTTTTGGATCAGTCACAGGTTCGAATACCAGATGGGTCGGGCATTCCTGTTCAGGGCATGGGGTCTGTTCAATTCACCAGTTCTATTCGGCTTAACAGGGTCTTGCATGTGCCTGCTTTTCAATGCAATCTTCTCTCGGTTAGTAGACTGGTTCAGGATCATAATGTCACGGTGACGTTCTTGCATGACTTTTGCATACTTCAGGTCTTACCTTCCAAGACGCTGATTGGAGTGGGTAAGCTTAAGGATGGCCTATATTACTTGCCCAGATTTGGAGGTTCGCCGCACCAGCAAGCCTGCACGGTCATGCGTCCTGCTGCTTCTCCGAGTCTCTGGCATTCTCGCCTCGGCCACCCCTCTTTTGATAGGATTGCTAGTTTGAAAGATTTTTTGGATTGCACTGTGTCTCATCGGGATTCTTTGCCTTGTGATTCTTGTTTACGGGCTAAACAGACACGGATTCCTTTCAGTCCTAGCACCATTAAAACCAGTGGATGTTTTGATTTGCTCCATATGGATATTTGGGGGGCGTATAGAACGCCAGCCCTGGATGGATCTCGTTATTTTTTGACTATTGTGGATGACTACAGCCGCTCCACGTGGGTCTATTTGATGAAATTTAAATCTGATGTTGAGCGATATGTCCGATTACATTGTGAGCTTGCTCGCACGCAGTATGGCAGGTCTGTTCGTCGTATTCAGGCTGACAACGGCCCTGAGTTTCAGACCCACTCATTACGTGCTTATTACGAGGATAACGGGATGATACTTCAGACTTCTTGTACGGACACTCCCCAGCAAAATGGTGTCGTGGAACGAAAACACCGTCATTTGCTGGAAACTGCCCGAGCTCTCATGTTTCATGCTGGTTTACCCGTGCGGTTTTGGGGTGAGTGTGTTCTCACTGCTACTTATTTGATTAACCGGTTACCTTCTCCTGTTCTCTCTGGGAAAACTCCGTTTGAAGTTCTTTTGGGGCGTTCACCTACTTACTCACACCTCCGTAACTTCGGCTGCCTTGTGTACACTAAGGATACACACCATGGCCTCGACAAGTTTGCTGAGAGGGGGAGACCCGGTGTTTTTATTGGCTATCCTGGTACTCAGAAAGGCTACCGAGTGTATGATCTTCGTACTCGAAGGATCCTGGTATCTCGTGATGTGCATTTTGTTGAAACATTATTTCCATTTGCACTCAAGGAAAAGGGTCACTCCATACCTCCAATGCCTCACGTGGACATGCATGACTCACGTCCCATGCATAGTGAAGTTGAGGATGGCCCTGGTATTATTCCCCTCGCAGATGAGGATCCCTCTGATACCGTGGGTTTGGACACTTCAGCCGAGAGCGACGACAACTCAGCTGCCCACCCAGGTTCACTCCATGATCCCTCTTCATCGCCTCTTGCGACTTCCAGCTTGGACCCACCTCATGGAGATTCACCCAGCTCGCCATGCACTTCTCCTCCACGTACCCAGCCGTTGAGTGACGATGCATCTGCGACTTTGGATTCATCCTCCGCAGGTGAGAATGTTCAGCCCCCACATGGTCCACGTCGCAATCCTCCTCGCGACCGTCGGCCGCCCGTTGGCCTCCGTGATTATGAGGTGACTCTTCCTGACACTAGCTCCAATTCCGTTCGATTTCCTTTATCTCATTACGTGCACTACCATCGCTTCTCTACTAATCACTCTGCTTTCCTTGCTGCTTTGGATGATTTATGTGAGCCACGGACTTATGCACAAGCCGTCCGTTATGCACACTGGAGAGCAGCAATGGTGCGCGAGATTGAAGCACTGGAGGCACAAGGGACATGGACCCTCGAGCTGCTACCTCCCGGCAAGCGGGCCATCGATTCCAAGTGGGTTTTCAAAATTAAGTTCCTGCCTGATGGTACCATTGATCGCTATAAAGCACGCCTTGTAGCGAAAGGTTTTACTCAGCTGGAAGGGATTGATTTCCATGATACGTTTGCTCCCGTTGCGAAGCTAGTCACCGTTCGAGTTCTCTTGGCAGTTGCTGCTAAGAAGGGATGGCCTCTCCACCAACTCGACGTGAATAACGCTTTCCTCCACGGAGATCTTGACGAAGAGGTTTATATGAAGGTCCCGCAGGGGTTTGCTAAACCCGGTGACCAGCGGGTTTGTCGTCTACGCAAATCACTTTATGGTCTTCGCCAGGCGTCCCGAAACTGGTATATGAAGTTCACCGAGGCTCTTCTATCCTTCGGGTTCACTGTCTCGCGCGCGGATCCTTCTCTCCTTTTATATCAGGCTGCCGGTGTGTTCATTGCCATTCTCATTTATGTTGATGACGTCGTCATAACTGGTAATGATTTAGACACCATTCAGCGTATCAAGACCTTCCTCCATCAGCGCTTCAGCATCAAAGACCTGGGTCCGTTGAAATATTTCCTTGGCATTGAAGTTGCTCGTTCTCCGGAGGGTATTGTGCTTAGCCAGCGTAAGTACACACTTGACATCTTGGCCGACTCGGGTATGACTGCAGCTCGACCCAGTGGTTTCCCGATGGAGCAGAATCATACTCTTACTCGGCCGACTGATGATCGGATTGATGATGTGAGTACCTATCGTCGTCTCATTGGGCGTCTGCTTTATCTCACGATCACTCGGCCGGACATCGCCTACTCAGTTAATCTTCTCAGTCAGTTTGTTCACTCCCCTAGTCCAGATCATATGGCTGCAGCGCATCGGGTACTTCGTTATCTTAAGGCAGCTCCTGGTCAAGGCCTATTTTTGCCATCCAGCGGCAGTATGGATCTCACAGCCTATAGTGATGCTGATTGGGGCGGCTGCCAGTTCAGTCGTCGCTCTACCACAGGTTATTACGTTCATCTCGGTGGTGCTCCTATCTCCTGGCGGGCCAAAAAGCAGCGTGTCGTTGCTAGATCATCCGCGGAGGCTGAGTATCGAGCCATGGCTAGTGCTACTAGTGAGGTACTTTGGCTTCGCCTTCTTCTTCGTGAATTGCAGATCCCGCAGACTGTTCCTACGCCTCTGCATTGTGACAATCAAGCAGCCTTGCACATTGCAGCCAATCCGGTTTTCCACGAGCGGACTAAGCATGTCGAGATGGACTGCTACTTTGTTCGCGAGCGTGTTAGTTCTGGCGAGATATCACCGAGGAAGGTTGGTACCCACGATCAGCTGGCCGATATTTTTACTAAAGCCTTAGGCACTGATCAGTTTCATCATCTTCTATCCAAGCTTGGCGTTCGTGACCTTCACGCTCCAGCTTGAGGGGGAGTATTGGACCTATTTGTACACTACTGTTATTTTGTGTTGGTTCTTGTTATTTTTCCCTATACCCATGCTACGTGTGGAAGGGTATTTAAGGGTTGTGTGGCCGAACTCTAACCCTAAGGTTGAGCGGCAGTAGCTTTGTTCTCTTCTTTGTGAGCTCATAGTGAAAACTCTCTGAGAGCTATGCTCTCCGTGGACTAGTCCCGATCTTCGGGGAAACCACGTAAACCATCGTGTCACTTTTACTTTCCGCAAGCGTTCAGTTTATTTACATCATATTCCAGAGAAATTGTACGATGTGTAACGTTAACGGCAAACCATGCTGGGTAACGGCGGCATTGACACTTCTCATCGTCCTCATAGTCGTCTCAACGACCCTCGCCGCCCTGGCGCTCACCGTCTTCCGTCCAAGGGATCCAACTTTCACCATTGAACTCGTAGGCCTGCCCGCCGTCCGGCTGGAGGATATAGTCCCCGCCAGAAACGTCACCGTCACGGTCGTGATCGGCATCAGCAATGGGAACTACGCCAGCTTTGCATGGAGGGACTTCACGGCGTCGATAAGGCTCAACGGGACAGCGGTGGGCGAGGTGACGATACGAGGCGACCGAGTCGTTCAACGTACTAATATGATGATGAACATCACTGCTGCTCCCACGCTTCAGCTGGACAAGCTGCTGCTCCCGCCATTGAACCTGGCATCGGTTATAGGTTCTTTGCACGATGGAGGGTTGCACTTCACTTGCTCCGTGACGGTGTTTGGGGAGGTTAGAGCGTTCGACGTCGTTTCGTTGCCCGGGGTTCGTGGCGCGGTTTCCATTGATTGTGCAAGTTTCATGCACGTAAACAGTATCCATTTAGCAAGGAAGAACGGTGTTTTTGGAGGGCAGGCTTGGTGCTGGACGGCGAAGAAGCGTTTGCTACTTTTCGGCAAGTAAGTAATCAGGGGGCTCAACGGTATTGCCGTATTGTAGTGTTTTCGGTGGCAGAGATATAAATCTGAATAACGGACTGATTTTTTTTTTATGTTTATGGAATTTAAATCATGGTCATTGTTCATTGGGTAGAGGACTGAACTCTTACCATTTAATTTCTTTTTCAGATTTAATATAAAAAATTTAAGTAAAATTATTCTACATTGAGAGAGTATGGCTCTTTCTAGCTAGTTGATGCATGAATAATGGGATGGATCGATACTCGATAATTTTTGCATGAATAATAGAGGCGGCTGAGAGACGGTGTGAGTAGTGATGGCAATTTCTACCCGTCCCGTGGGTATTACCCGACCTGGTCCGCGATGGGGCGGGTATTACCCGACCCGCAGTAGCGTGGGGCGGGGTATGGGTATCTACTTCCAACCCGCCCTGCCCCGTCCCCGCCCGCCTCGTTCTAGACTCATTTTATCTCAATTTCTTACATATCTATACATATTTCTCCTATTTTGACTTTTCTTCAACTAGTTAGAGTCGATCTTTCAACTTGTTAGGCTCAATTATCCATTCTATTATCAATATTTTTCATTCTTAAAGTGTTTTCCCCTACGTTTTATTGTAAAAAGTAAAATTTACTTGTATTTTTTTTAATAATATGTAAGAGTGGGTCGACCCGCCCCATCCGGTACCCGCGCGGATTTTACCCGCCCCGCCCTATTGCCATCACTAGGTGTGAGAGTGAGACTTCAGAGTTCAGAGGAATGGAGATAGCAAGAGAGACAGGCGGAAGCCCACCGTGGCTTTATCTTGTTTCAGGGCCCACCAGAGTAGTACCTGGGCCCAATCCGTTTGACGCTACTGTATATCGCCTACCCGACTTCCCTTCAATAAGAGAGTGGTCCGGCCCAATACCTTCCATTTTTCCAGAGCCTACCTATATCTGGTGTTCTCGATCCATTTGATGCGAGGTTGCAAATTTTTTAAGTGGTATACAATTGTAATCGACTTTCAATTTTTTTTTATGAGTGTCATGTAATATTTGCAGATTGGGTAAATATTATTGATAGGAATGCTCCAAAATATATTCAAAAAATAATTAATTTTTTCGTCAACTTAAATAATTGATTCTTTCATCGACCTAAATAATTAATTCGTTTGAAAAGTAAACAGGAAAAGGTGGTTTGGAAGACAATAATTATTTATACCCTATTAGTGTTGTGTTTGTTTCTACTTCCCTTGTGATGAAATTTATTTATTTTTGTTAAAACAAACATAATTTCTAACGTTTTCCCCAAACTTCATTCAAAGCTACCATTTACTCAAATAAAAAATTCTCCAACTACTTTATTATTAAACACATCGTTTCACAGTCATTAAATACTTTTCTAAGGATGGCAAAAAAAACACCCAATATTTGGCTATTGTACAAATCAAGGTTGCCAAAACGGTTTAACCCGTTGACCAGCTCAAGCCAGTGGGTTGAGAGTTAATGGTTTGATTGCTTTAATTTGGATATATGAAAAAAGTCATTACACTCTTCAAGTTAGAATTCCAATTATCCCCAAAGATTGGGTTTGGCGAAGGGAAAAACTAGAAAAGAACAGCATTCGCAAATCAAAGAAAAAATGACGTTGTATGACCTCCAACCCGAGAACATTGTTGAGGGTCGACCCGTGAGTCTGTGGCGTGTTTTTTTCTCACCGGGTCAGAATCAAAATGGGTCAACCTGCGGGTTGACAACCTTGCTCGAAACTCATCTTAGTATTGGTCAAATTAGGTTTAGGTAATTTTGCTTTTGGCATAGACCCATATCCAACTTTTTAGTTTGAGTCTGAGTTGAACCCATATTATTAGATACGGAAAACAAAATGGATATCCGATTCTAATAATGCAATTTTTGCCTTACTTTTTTGTTATGAAACAAGCAAAAAGGTGATAACACCAACATTAAAAGTGTATTTGAGTTGAAAGCAACTAATAAGATGCGCGATATAGTATTTTTGTTTGTAAGTGCATTTTGTTCCATTTAGATCCAACCCAATAACCATATGAGCATGACGATTGGAGGGGAAAAAACACACTTTTTACTTTTTCTAAATTCCTAAAAAAAATAATAATAAGTAGAAACAAATACACGCCTGTCTATTTTGAATTGAAGGGTCTAGAATTAAAGGCTCAACATACAGCATTCCAATTAGCTCAATCACATTAATTAATGAGGTTTGATTCAAGATAAACAGACAATTCAACTAACAAATGCCTCTTCCTAACCTGTGAATCATGACCTAGCTGGAACAGCAGATCAGAAAATGATCCATGCTAGCTAGTTCTGCAGAAATTATGGAGCAAGCGGTTAGAAAAGACAGAAAATGATCCCCGAAAGGGAGTAGAGCAGCGATACTGCCTAATTTAAATTGTCGTACGTCAGGCGGCATTTCTTTGATAGCGACACAGCACTAGTGCCGGCTATTTATTAGCCGTTAGATATTTGTGTTTTTAAAAATTATTTAATATAATTATATTTTTAATATTCCGAACATAAAAATTAAAATGATCTTTAATTATTTATCGAAATTATTTGTTTGTTTTATTTAATTGTGGCTATTTGTTTTCCCCAAAAACTCTTCCTGTCTAACCGGTCTACTGGGGGAAAATGATCTACCGTTTGATTTGATCATCGTGTTCCCGTCGTCCATGATGGCGATGGTGATTTCGAACGATTGGCTTCGGGATCTTGGTGGTGATAGACGATCCGCGGCAACGGCGATGATGGTGGTGGATCATCGGCGGCGGGATTCGGTATATACCGAAATACCGAGAAATACCAAAAATTAAATATTAATGAAATATAGCACACAACTTTTGGTCATTGCTCACTCTTTCATAACTTAGAAACCTCCATCCAACTCAATTTTGAGTTTCCAGTTTAAATCACTCTCGTCTCTCACCTAATCTCTTGTTGTTTTCATAACACCAAAAAGCAAACACAAGTATTAGTCTTCTCTCAGCCTCCAATTCGTCAAATTAAAGATTACCAATGACAAAAATTTGAGATGTCACCTCTCCTTCATTCTCCTTATCCATATCCTAACTCTAGATCGACAAACTCAAAACTCTTTGTTTAGTCTCTTTGCACTAAATTAAACAATAAAATCTAATATATATTTAATTATTAATTGCAGAGGTAATTAATTTCGCATTCGATAATACCGATTGAAATACCGAAATATTTATAAATTGAGATTGATATTAATTTTGGAGTGTAATTCGATATTTAATATTAACAATATCGATACCATACCGATTTCCATCCTAAATGCACTACAACAGAATTGCCCCGGTGTATAGACACAAGAAAAGCAGTCTTATATTCGAGTTCATGTGTAGAGACAAATGAATTAAAACAATCCAGGTTTTTTCCTCGTCATTGCCGTCACGATCAGACTAAGTATTCCAAAAAGGGGCAGCTTAATTAGGGCTCTTATTAATCCATCCAAAAAGTTCTCCTATACCATTTCTCCACATATTCCATTTCTCAGCGTTAATCGTTTCAAGTAATTACGATGAGCAACGGCAAACCATGCTGGGTAAAAACGTCATTCACACTTCTCATCGTCGTTATAGCCATTTCCACGACCCTCGCCGCCCTGGCGCTCACCGTCTTCCGCCCAAGGGACCCAACCTTCACCATGTACCTCGTCGGCCTGCCCGCCGTCCGGCTGCGGGACATACTCCCCCCGAAGAACGTCACCGTCCCGGTCGTCATCGGCCTCCGCAACGAAAACTACGCCAGCTTTGCATGGAGGGACTTCACGGCGTCGATAAGGCTCAACGGGACGGCGGTGGGCGAGGTGACGATTCGAGGCGGCCGAGTGGTTCAACGTACGAATAATATGAACGTCACGGCTGCTCCGACGTTTGAGCCGGCCAAGCTGCTGCTCCCGCCCTTCAACCTGCCGTCGGTGATCGCCGCTCTGCGCGGCGGAGGGTTGCACTTCACTTGCTCCGTCACGGTGTTTGGGGAGGTCAAGGCGTTCGGCGTCGTTTCGCTCCCTGGGGTTCGTGGCTCGATTTCTATTGATTGCGTCGGTTCCATGTACGTGGACGGTATCTTTTTCCACCGGGAGGGTGGTTTCTTTGGAGGGCAGGCTTCGTGCTGGACGGCCAAGAAGCGATTATTGCTACTTTCCGGCAAGTAACCCGCGCTGGATACGAGAATATTATGTGCTTTATAAATGGGGTTATCAACTTATCATGTCAAGAATAGTGTGTTGTAATAATTCAAGTTGTTTACGAAACTATAATAACTAATCTTATGTCATTCACTAAGAGACCTTTTCAAAGAATGTCAAGCAATTCAAAAGAGTTTTCATTTGTAAAAGTATTGAGATACGAGAATACCATGTAATTTAAATAGAGGTCACCAGGATTCGAATATAATATCTAGGGATTTCCTACAATAACTTGAAGTAAGGTAACTTCAATTTTTTTACATGCTATAGCAGGTTTCACAGGTCGCATTACGTAAAATATAATAGGTATTACGTAACGGTTACGTAACATATGGTAATCTAACGTAACAGTTGTAAAAGATCATTACGAAAGTCTTACGTAATGAGTATTAACCTCGTGTTACGTAAAATGTTAAGTCATTACGTAAGCTTTACGTAATGAATGTGTATTTTACGTAACAGTTGTAAAATGTCATTGCGGAAGCCTTACGTAATTGAAGGTCTCTTTACGTAATGAGTATTAATGTCGTGTTACGTAAAAAGCTAAGTGATTACGGAAGCTTTACGTAATGCTTTCGATTTCACTGTTACGTAAGAAATAACTATCGTTCCGTAATCTTTACGTAATGGAAGGTCTCTTTACGTAATGAGTATTAATCTCACGTTACGTAAAGTGCTAAGTTATTACGGAAGCCTTTCGTAACGCTTCTACTTTAATCAGAATTAAAATAAGGAAAGGATAAAATAAGGAAAAACAAATAAATATGAAAAAGGAAAGAAAAAAAAACAAGAAAGGTAACTTGCTTTGTGGCCACCGGCAACTCATGTTGCCATTGATTTTTTTTTACTTATTTTTTATTTCTTTAATCAATGGTTTAAAATAAATTTGATGGATTTTTATGGTTTAGATCTATGCAAGTTACCTAACTTAAAATTATACCCAAATTACTGTAGGAGATCCCTAATATCTATTTTTCAAATATAAAACTCTGATATAATATAAAAAATTAGTTGATCTTAATAACTCGAATTGTCGAAAGAAAGCATATAACAGAGTTCAAAATTATAAATACCTTGGAGCTTTTAAATCCTCTATATTTGTTGCTCGAGCTAGCTAGTAGGCAGTAGCCTAGGACTTAACTAATTCTTCTTCCGATCCCACCCTTTCTTTCTCTCTTTCTGCTTTCCCCTCTCTTGAAAAAGAAAAATGAATGGGCCGCTTCGTCCAAAGAGCAATAATAGGGGCAGCGAGGCGACGGCGAGAGACGATGTGAGTGAATGAGACTTCTTCGCAGGAATTGAGATAACAAGAGAGGCCGCCAGAATCCCGTCGTCGACAGCCCAATACCTGAATAATGCCCAACCCTGGGCCAACCCTTTAGGCCCAATTGTATAATGCCTGCCAGTGCCAGACTTCCCTTCAATAAGAGGGTGACACATCCTACCTATATCTGGTTCTGGTCCTCTCAACCCAATCCTCCCCTAGGGAGTTTCCAGCCTAGAAAATTCTACCCGTGATTAGGCAGTGATGTCATATGTGCGAGTCTCCTTGTTCTTTGATAACAAGGTCAAACCGAATCCATGAAAACATCAAATAAAGTTTTGGTACTGTCGTTGAATCTGATTCCTTCATGGGGTTGGAGTAGCCTACATTATCTTGTCCTAAATGGCTAAATTCCACACTATTAAAGTCTCTAGATTATGTATTTTTCTAAAGACCATCTCTCATTTCTTTTTTCTTAATCTGAGTTTCTATCGTTAGCTTATCATTAGTCGATCATTAAACTATATCCAAATAGCTTATTGGCTACTACCTAACTACTAGTTTGGTATAAAACGACCCTGAAAGGAAAATTTTGACGTCATACTTATCTCTTACATCAAAATCAACTACATCGATTCATAGGCGGAGCTAGTCCTATTGGGCATTGTCCCAGGACGGAGGTAAGTTTTGGGAAGGAAAAAACATACATGGTATGTTGACTAGGGCTGTCAAAATGGTTTCGGGTTTTCGGTTTAACCCGAACCCGAACCGCCAGCAAGTGTCTGCGGGTTCGGTTTGTTCGGTTTCAACCCGAGAATTTACATGCTGGTTTCGGTTTCATAAACCCGAAACCCGAGAGGGAACCCGAAAACCGAATTGCAAAAATAGCTGCTTCAAGTTCTTACGGTGACATTTTGTTGTAGGGAATTCTTCGCTTCGACAATTGACTTAGGTTAGGGCTGTGAGCATCGCGCCGCGCGCGGCATCGCCATTCGCATCGCCACACACTCGACGATCGGCAGCAAGCCAGCAACCCTACCCTGCAGCGCAGTCAGGGATTCCCCCGTCGCCGGCGAACTCATCCATTCGTTCAAGATCGAAGCTTCCCCCGTCGGGGGTCGACGCCGGCGCATCTGGGTCTCAAGCCCTTTGAAGCTTCGACAAAGGAGACGCCACCCCTTTGCAGTTCGCACTTCGCCATGGGTCTGCTCTGTTCTCGTTTCCCTTTACTTTCTGTGTTCAGTGCTCTGTTCTCGTTTCCCCTGCCTATTGTTCTGGAAGCAGAGTGTAATTGGGTCATGGCGCTTTAGAGATTATGTGCGGGTAGAAATCTTCAAGCCTTTGCAACTCTCTAGGATGAAAGTATGTGAAAGAAAATTCTACAGAGTTGTATTGGTTCGTGCTTCTTGTTAGCTGCATAACTGTTTTTTTGTCTTTGGTCCTGGTCTAGTCTCCATCCATCGCCATTGCCAAATTCATTCGGTTGTGACGTTTCTGCTGTCCTCCATTATTACCCTCCATTGCCAAATTCTCTACATTTACCGCCTGTTTTAACCATAATTACAGTCCAAGCTATTCCTATAGCCCTCTCTACCTCTCTGAGGATGCCACAAATAATAGTGACTTGTTGTGGGCTGTGGCCATGTTGTTCTAGTTTTAGGATGCACACATTTTCTTTTAGGACTCAAGAGACATGTCTGCACCATATAAGCAGAAGAAGAGGGGGGAAACAGCATCACATGGTTGTGAAAAGGGGGTTTGGAGGATAGGAAGAGAGCCTCTTTCGTTTGTCAGTGTTGTTTCAGCAATGGGATGTGTCTGGTTAGGGACATGCATGGTCTTTTGTTTTCTTGCCTTCGGCTGATTGTTCTTGACAGGTCTTAAAATACTATAATGCAAAAGTTTAGTTTAGGCTCTACTAATACAAGAAGGTTTTACTCTGAATTTTAATTGGTGAGGAGGTTAAGGTGCTTCCTACCATAACGACTCTTCTGAAGGAGATTATAGCCTGAGCATAAACAAGTTCAGATTCCTTTAAGCTTCACTCTTTCCCTAATGCCAGAGGATAATTCACGATTTAATCCTCTCATCAGGGAGGGACTTAATGGAACTATAAGTGTTCGAAAGGCTCTAGGAAGTGTTTCAGATTGTGTCCATCTGGAATATATTATTAATGTGATGTAATTTCATTCATTAATTTGTTGTTTTGTGCTGCCGCCTACACTATATAATTAATATTCTGTCTTGTTTTCTATGTTTGTTGTCTTGTGAAAAAAAGGGTGTCTCTGTTTGTATTATGGTTTATGTTATCCAGTATATGCAGCTTTTCAAACTCGGAGTGCAAGTGCACCTACAAGACCTAGTGGAAGCTCTCATGCAGGACCTAGTGGAAGCTCTCCTGCTACCCATGTTTTGGTCCCGAGTCCTACTATGTCACAAGTGGAAGAAGACTATGTCGACGACAATTCTGATGAGAATGATGAGACTTATGTAGATGTAGAGCCTGATGAGGAGTGATAATTGTAGTAGTGTTTATCTTGTATGGTGGATGAATTTTTATTTTACTTGGATGTTATCATTTGAGAATTGTAAAACTAATGTGTTTAATTACGAATTGAAGATAATCTCATCTATGATTGTCGATATTTTATGTTGAACAAAATTATTTATAATTTTGCGCCAAACACCACATATTTTTTTGCATATGATAGTTGATATACCTTCAATTTTGGACCTATGGTATTACTAAAATATTTAATTATACGAAAATTCACAATTAAATAAGATATGATTAAGTTACGTATAAAATATATTTAAGTATTTTACTTTGTCTCTAAACTACTAATACTCTTTAATAGTTAATAGTATGTCTATAGTTATAGAATACATAAAATTAAATATTTTAATAATTAACTAATATTTTAATAATAAACTAATATGTAAATATTAGTTTTATATTGTCCACGTCCCATAAAATTAAACATAATGATTAAATAAGAATGTACAAATAATAAGAATAAAATTGTTTGTACAAGCAAAATAATGTAAAATTCAAATCACAAAAGTAAAAAGTAAAAAAAAAAAAAAACTCAAACAGTTCGGTTTCGGGTTCACCCGAACCGAACCCGCCAGCATCCATTTCGGGTTCCATCACCAGAAAACCCACAGAGGGCAATTCGGTTTCGGTTTCGGGTTGTGGGAGTCGGGTTCGGGTTTTCGATTTTTTGGCGGTTTTCGGGTTCGGTTACCCGACCCGACCCGAACCGACAGGCCTAATGTTGACCTGCCCGGTTCCACTTCGCACTCTTGCTCGTACCCCATTGCCAGCCAAGTCAACTACCATCGATTTTCTTCCCATCATCGAGCCTTCCTGGCCGCCATCACACAGAACGTTGAGCCCAAAAACTATAAGCCGGCAGTTCAGTTCGCGTGCTGGCGAGAAGCAATGATTAAAGAAATCCTAGCACTGGAGGCCAACGGTACGTGGACTTTGGAACTTTTGCCGCCTGGCAAAAGAGCTATTGACTCGAAGTGGATTTTTAAAATCAAATATAATCCTGATGGTTCAGTGGAGCGTTACAAGGCACGCTTGGTTGCCAAGGGTTTCACTCAACTGGAAGGCATTGATTTTCATGAAACCTTCGCTCCTATGGCGAAGCTTGTTACAGTCAGGGTCTTGATCGCAGTAGTTGTTGCCCGTGGGTGGCCCTTACACCAGCTGGACGCGAATAACGCCTTTCTCCATGGCGATCTTCAGGAGGAGGTGTATATGAAGGTCCCTTTGGGTTTTGCGGAGAAGGGTGATAATCGGGTTTGTCGGTTGCGGAAACCACTCTATGGCCTTCGCCAAGCTTCTCGCAACTGGTACATGAAGTTTACTTCAGCTATGGCTGAACTCGGTTTCGTCTCTTCTCATGCCGATCCCTCCCTCCTCATTCATCATCGCGGTGACTGTTTTGTAGCAGCCCTTGTCTACATGGATGATGTCGTTCTTACTGGTAATGATTCCCAGTTGATTGCCCAGGTTAAGTCTTTTCTCCATGATCGCTTCAGCATTAAAGATCTTGGACCTCTTAAGTACTTCTTGGGCATTGAAGTAGCTCGTTCGCCTGAGGGAGTTGTTCTTTCTCAGCGAAAATACGCTATGGATATCTTAGAGGATGCTGGTGTGACCGGTTCTCGCCCTAGTCGGTTTCCTATGGAGCAGAATCGCACTCTCACTCGCCCCAATCCTGCTGATGATACTGTGGTCGATGCTTCTTCTTACCGGTGTCTTGTGGGACGCCTACTTTATCTTACTGTCCCCAGGCCCGATATTACTTATGCTGTCAACATTCTCAGTCAGTTTGTTCATTCACCTGGTCCTGAACATGTTGCAGCTGCGCATCGGGTTCTCCACTACCTCAAGACTTCTCCAGGATAGGGTCTCTTCTTTCCCGCTGGCGATTCACTTCAGCTTTCAGCCTATTGTGATGCTGATTGGGGTGGTTGCCAGTCTACCCGGCGTTCTACGACTGGTTATTACATTCAGCTGGGGTCTGCACCTGTGTCTTGGCGGACTAAGAAACAGGTCATTGCTCGTTCTTCTGCAGAGGCGGAGTATCGTGCCATGGCTAGCATAGTTAGCGAAGTCATTTGGCTCCGTTTCCTTCTCACTGAGCTGGGTGTGCCACAGCGTTCGTCGACGTCCTTATTCTGTGATAACCAGGCTGCTCTCCACATTGTTGCCAATCCTGACTTTCATGAGCGCACCAAACACGTCGAGATGGATTGCCATTTTGTGCGGGAGCGCGTGGTCACCGGCGAGATTGCGCCTTTGAAGATTAGTTCATCTTTGCAGTTAGCGAACATTCTCACGAAGGCTTTGGGTGGCGACCAGTTTCATCTCTTGTTGTCCAAACTTGGCATTCATGACCTGCATGCTTCAGCTTGAGGGGGAGTGTTGACGTGTACATTTTGTCACGTTCAGTTATTCTATTTTAGTTTGGGGATTATTATGTAATCCTCCACTTAGTTTAATTACCCTAATACATGTCGATGGGTCTAAGTAAGGCCATGATGCGGCCGTCTTTTGTAACTCTTCCGGGTAGATTTCTATTTTCCCGTTCATAGTGAAACCCTAGCTGAGGTCGCCCTCACCATGGACTAGTCCCGTCAATTGACGATGAAACCATGTAAATCGTTGTCTCCTTTATCTTCCGCGATTCTTTGTTTTTACAAAAAGACTTTGTACTAATAAGTTTAGTGAACACTAATATATAAGAGTTCCTTCCCCTGTACAACCGATATGGTATTAAGATTGTACGGTGTCAAAGCTTCAACCCTACTCTATATTAATCCATCCAATAACTCCTACCGCCGGTCCACATACATATACCATTTGTCACGGTTAATAATCATATTCCACGAAAACCATGAGTACCGTTTACGAGAAAACCAATGTGAGACTTCGGAATAATTGAGATAACAAGAGAGGCCGCCAGTATCCCCTCGTCGACAGCCCAGTACCAGAATAATGCCAAACCCTGGCCCAACTCTTTAGGCCCAATTGTATACAGTTAATGGTCATTTCGAGCCCTAAAATGTAAGTCCTAAATTCCACATCATTTAAGTCTCTAATTTTTTTTTTTAAAGATCATCTCTCATACATTTTTTCTTAATCGAGTTTATCATCGTTAGCTTATTGTTAGTTGATCATTAAAGTATATCCAAATAGCTCACTGGCCATTACCTAACCACTAGTTTGTACTTTGTTATAAAATGACCATGAAAGGAAAATTTTGTCGTCATACTTATCTCATACATCAAAATCAACCCCACCGACCCCATCATCACCATCAATAATCATGAATGAGACAGAGGCTACAAATATGAAATAGTTTCATAATTGGGGTCCATATTTGATGAGCACAATTTGTTGGGACTTTTAGGGACGAGGGTACACGTACGATAGCCCGAGACCGGGTGACCAGGATTGTGATAGAGTCGTGAACAATGTTCACTTTTCGAAAAGAATATTTCCACCCTCTACAAAGCCTTGGGTTACAGGAAATTTCTCCCGAGGATAAAACTATCACCACTTTAGGTTCCAGGCTCAAGAACACTAAAGCATACTTAGAAATTTTTGGAAGAAAGAAGAAGAATATGTTTGATGGTATGTGGCATCATCCACCCCACACATATTTATAGGGGCCGAATCCATGCATTGTTTCATGAAAGGTTGCCTTTATCCATATGAAAGGTTGCCTTTATCCATATGAAAGGTTATCCTTATCCATATGAAGGGTTGCCTCTATCCATAAGGTTATCCTTATCCATAAAATAATGCAACCGCCACTAGGCCAAAGGGATGTGTCCCTTCACGGAATTAGAATATCGGTTTGGTCGGTCTAATCCCAAAGCGGTTGGTCGGTCCAACCCAAAACCGGTTTGACTTGGTTAGTCCGGTTCAACCAAATTTCCAACACAATTGAGTTCATATTCGACGAGAGGCTAACAAGATGATGTATGGCATACACGGGCTTGTATAAGATCCGGCATAACTGGTTAAGCACCATATACGGACCTGTATAAGATTCGGTATAACCCTTCTTCCAATAACTCGAGTTATTGAGATCAACTGGTTTATGACATGGTATCAGAGTTGGATTGTCATTGAGGTCACGTGTTCAAGTCCTCGCTACCCCCAATATTAACTATTGTCTTTCAAGCACATGGTATGTCGGGTTTGTGCAAACTTCAAGCCCATGAGTCGGCTTTCGTTTGAGGGGGCGTGTAAGGAAGTGGTTAAACACCATACACGGACCTGTATAAGATCCAGCATAACCCTTCTCCCAACAACTCGAGTTATTGGGACCAACTGGTTTATGACAGATACAATTGTCTTTGATTTTCGGTATTATTTTATCTAGATATGATTGTTGATTACTAGCTCGTATTACAAGTGCATATAGAGAAAAATGCTTATTGAAATGACTATTTAATTTCTAGTGATGATTAGAAAATAATGGGAGGATTAGGAGACGCTATTTCCAAGAAGTGGGCATTCTTTTCAAGAGAAGCCATCAGAATGGGATCTACCCTCATCCACACCTCGACGCCATTGTAGACCTCCTCATCATCCTTGGGTGCTAATTCCTTGAGGACAAATATGTTAGTCAAAACAGGGTTATTCCCGCTAGCTTCTCCCACCACACCACTCCACACTGGTGTCCCCCAGCCGAAATCCAGGTCACTGAACCCAAACCCGATCCAACTCGAGAAACTCACACTCGGGACTACAGCGCTTTGCAAATGCTTCATCCCTTGGAAAAACATCTCTGGCCCTCGATCAGATGATAAGAGATTAAGGCACTTGTCATCCAACAATCTTGTCATTCCTTCCCTTATAAGCCCCACCAAGTGAGAATAAGCACCGATCTGAATACTGTTGGGGTTGTCCATTTCACCATCATTCGCCGGATCGTCGTCACAAAAAAACGATTGGGACATTGAGTAGAGGTTTCCAATGGAGTGTTGTGAAAGTATCAAATCATCTTTGTTGTTCTTCTTTTTCTTCATTCTCGACCTGAGGTTGACAGCTTGACGAAGGCACAACGGCTTCGGAGATTCAGAAGCTGCGGCAGCTGCTACCATGGACTTCCAAATGAAAGCCAATATTACTTCATTCCGAGTAGGATTGCTAATGCCTGCGGCCGTGGCCCGAGATTTCAAGGTGGCTATTGCATGATTCCGGATCACGAATCTCCTGGTCGTTGCGACGGTGTTCTTCTCAGGTGGAAACCATAACCTGTCCATCAAGGACGCCAACTCATGAGGTGGTACGCCAACGCCAGATGTTGGAGGTGGGAAAGTCGAGTATCCTCCCGACAAATCCTTTGCGGACACGTGTTCGACTTCTTTTTTTGCACTATCAGGCGTGATTAATTGGCGGGAGTGAGCCGCCCAAGTATTGAGGAACGTGCTCGTGGTGGCAGCATCCATGGTCTGGTGATAGAAACACAAGCCAATTGCAACCCCGCCGCAGTCAAATGTGTTCATCTGAACGGTGACTTGGGGAGGAGGCAACTGCCCCGGTTCGGTGTGGCGACAAAATGGTTCCACGGGGAAAAGCTTGTTGAGGAGGTCTAGCTTGGGAGGGTGGAGAAACTCCGACATCCGGTGACCTTGAACACGAGATCCGATGAAGGGAACACCTGCTTCGAAGTCGTCGACGATGATGTTGTCCTTGACCCTTCCAGATAGTGGGTAGAAGGAGTTGAGGGTGTGTGATAGTGATTCCTTGAGGTTGTTGGACATCGATTCAGGGCTCCAGTACTCATCAGTAGTAGTAATCTTGGCCATGGGGTAGAAGAGGACGAGTGAGGTGTAGTTGGGTGGAATGACCTGATCTAGAAAGCATAGTTTGAAAGGAGGACGTCTCAGCTCGCCCTCCACTTCACCACCCATGTCGCCCTTTGATTCTAATGGTCGCGGCTTCACCTTCTCCCTTGAACTCATTGAAACTGTCATGGATTGACTTGCCATCGTTTTGATAATCTATGAAAAAAGAAAAGCAATTGTCATGGGACAATCCAAGTACCATATCGGTAATACAAGAAAAGGAATCCTTGTATATTAGAGTCCACCTACCCAATTAGCATGCGAGGCCTTTTGGGGAGGACACTCAAGAGTAAAACCGTGCGGGCTTGGCCCAAAGCGGACAATATATCGTACTAATTGGGCTAACCAGTTTGACAACAATAAGTCATATGGATATATACAACGTACGGCGATGATAGAGCTAGAACAAATCTGATGATACTTTTCGACTACAATTTTTTTTTTAATATTTCCTAGTGATATCAAGAGAAGAAAAGAGTAATAAAACTAACCAGAAACCTCTTACAATCGAAATCCTAATGCAACCTTCTAAGAAGATCGAAAGATTGTAACTCTAGGAGAAATACAATAGTTAGGGTAGTGGCGAACTTACGAGTAGTTCATGGTGGATTATATAAAGGACCAAAGGATAATGTAACAAGAGGTTGAGAGAGTTTCGAGTAAAAATAATTATATTAATTAGTTGAGTGCGTGAATTAAAATTTTATTACCTAACCAAAAAATAATTACAATTAATGGTATAAATACATTATTATTTCTAAAAAAAAATAATTTTATAATATGATAGTAGAACCTGGTTCGAAAACCTAAACTTCCATCTTACCCGCCGCCCACCGCCCACCATGTGTCCAGAGTCACCGGGAACCATCTTTCATGTTGCTTGAAGTAGCTTTGTGATCTCTTAGTTAATTAGCCTTGTTAGTTTGGTGGTTCTCTTTAGCGTCAGGAAAATATTGTGTTTTATTACTGAATCATGATAGGTTTATATAGAATATAGAGACTAATTTTTATGATAACTCTAATACTATTACGAAAATTACCTAACTTTTATGACTCTAATAAGAAATATAAAATTGTCCAATTACATAACAGTAATCGTAGTATAATACAATACTACTCGTGCTATACATATTCTAATAATACTACCACACGTACCTGAATATTATATATGTTTCTCGTCTTTCCTTATCAATCACTGTTCTCCTTCCTTCAATCACTGTTCCCCGTAGCTTGCTGGCTCCTTGGAAAATTAACGGAACGATGATACTTATTTTGTGAGGTGAATATGAATGCCAACCTTCAAGCTTTGCTCAATACATATATACACATTTCATTCCGACGTGTGCGCGCACATAAATTTATTTGTTTATATATATAAACCTAGCTAAAATAGAGTTACTGTTTACTAACTTAACATGTGGAGAGTTATGTGTGAAAGAGAAAGAAGAGAGGTCCACCCTCTTGGCTCCCAAAGAATTAGACTGTTTTTGTGGGTTATAGGTGTATATGGGCGCTGGGTCGGGCTCGGGCCGGCACGGCACGGTTACGTTTCGGGCCCATTTATTTCGTGTCGTGCTTGGCACGGCCCGTCAGTTTTCGTGTCGTGCCATATAAGCTCATTTGTTAACTTTGTTAGGCCCGGCTCAGGTCCGGGCACGGTTCGAATCGTGCCGTGTCTATTCGTGCTCGTGCCATGCTCGTATTTGTGTTTAATGAAAATGATGAAAACAAAAGAGAGAATGAAAAAGAAGGTGAAAATTGAACAAAGGGAGATAGTATTAACCGATAATGTTTGATAAAAGTAACAAATAAGGGGGGAAAGAAAATTGGAAGTATAGCGAGTGTGATTTGGTTTTCTTTAAATTATTTTTCTACTTGTGTTTTGCCATATTTGAACCTATAATTCTTTTTATATTTATTTTCTTGCCATGTCCGTTCTTATACTCAATAAAGTCTCGAAAATATTAGGCCCGACACGACCCACTTATATACTGTGCCGTGCACGTGCTCGTGCCCGACTGCCCGTGCCCATGAAGTTTAGGTCCGGCACGTTTATCCGTGCTCGTGCCAGGCAAGCCCATTTATTTCATGCCCGTGCTCGTGCCGTGCCGTGCTAGCCTGTGGGCGGCACGGCCCGGAGCCCACGTACGGTTATAGGCTTATAACATCAACGCTTTTCATGTTGGATGCTTTGAGTTCAAAGTTAGAATTATTATTTTACTGGGATGTTAGTAGAAAATTGATATAATTTATATATGTACGTACAATAAAATATTATATAATCGAGTTAAATTAGACTATACCAATCGACCTATTAGCTCAACAGGCCCAACAGATAAATCAGGTTGACAACCTTTATCTAAAGTATCATTTTATTTTATTTTTATCCAAGGCAAGCCCAAAGGGCATGGGACAAAGACTCGACACGAATACATGACCGACTTAAAACCAACACGATAGTCTGTATGCAACCAGACTAAAGTATCATTGGAAATATGATTTATAATGAGTAAAAATCGGAGGAATATAATTAAGTATTGAGATCAATCAAGGTAAAACGAGTAAAAAACGGGCGAGATAGGGCGGCACAGGACGAAAGTAGTACACATGTTCAACCAAACATTACTGAATGCCCCAACACAGATCAGATCGAAATTTCTAGCAGTACTGATTCAAATTGCCATCACTTCTACAAATTTTATTATAGCTTTAATTTAACCCTTTGTTGTCATTGTTTTAACACTTTTACATCATTCTTTTTATATTTTGATATACAATATGATATGCTATATACTGAATATGCTTTTTCAAATATCAATAAAATCCAAAGATCATTATTAATTGGAAATAATATATTTTTGGCCATATTCGTATTAGATCTACAGCACCATATTTGTTTGATTGCCTGCAAATTAATTTTGAGTTGGCTTTATGCCTACAACTTGGTCAATTCATACTATTATTATATATAGAAGAAACACAAAATTTGGCTTTTTTTCATCATCTCATTAATACTTAACTCATTTTGAAGATACGGAGATAAGATCCTCCTGCAGATCGAAGAATTAGAACTATCTTTTATTGTATGATCGAGATCACATTCACACCTTAGTTAGGTTGAAAATGTTGCATTTATAAACTTTACTCTACGTTATTGCTATATATAAAACTAGCGCTTGGGCCGGTCCGCTGGCCGGAAAACCTAATAATAGTGTATTTCATATGTATTGTAGATGCATGTAATGTGTCATGTGTGTTGATGGTTGACACGAACTATACTATGACAGCTTATAAAACATAGTGTTACAGCCAGTTCAGAAACAAATCGAAAGCTAAAGGAATTTTAATTTTGGTGGTAATTCGAACAATATGAACATCACGGCTCCGACCCTTCAACTGGATAAGCTGTTGCTCCCGCCCTTCAAACTGCCATCGGTGTTCGCTACTTTGGGGGTGAGATACCGTCACTTCCTCCTATAGGGGTTGTGAGATTCACAACTTATTTCCTAGTCATTGGATACATTCTCTTTCCTGTCTCTCTCTTCTTTTTTTGAAATTGATGGTTAGGATTAAAATAAGGTATTTTTGAAAGGAAAAAATATTACCACACTCAATCACTCTCCCTCCCATATAAATACATAAAACTCTAGGGTGTGCCTACAGTGACATGCATGTCATGGTGACTTGCACTTTTCGGTCGACCTCAGTTAGGATTAGGTCGACCTCATTTAGAATTCGGTCGACCTCATATAGGATCTGGTCGACCTCATTTAGAATTCGGTCGACCTCATATAGGATCAGGTCGACCTAATCTGTTGTTTCAGTGTAAAAACAGTTCATGGTGCCTACTTTGGATATTCATATCATACAATTGGCTAGATGGAAATTGAAGACTAATGACTTGTTTTGAAGCTGGAGTGTCCCTCTACATATTGAAGTGATTGAGAGCTCGATAGGAAGTCCAGAAGACCATTTTTGAACCTCATCAAAAGGCTATGCCAAAACTGGGAAACTGCTTGGAAATGGCTAAGTCTGGAAACGTGTTTGTGAAGCCTATTTTGGAGCTCAATTCGAGAAGCATGAATGCACGTCGAGTCCAGGAGCCTCTACCACGTTAAATTAGGTATGTTTTTATACAAATTCAAGGCATTGGATGAAAGATTGAATATCTGTAAGGCTTCAAACAAAAGGGTCGAAGTTGCTACGAAGGCTGTTTTTCTGGCAGACTTCGAGCACAAGCAAGCGGCCAGAAAAACAGCATTCGTAGCAACTTCGAGCCTTTTGTTTGAAGCCTTAAAGATATTCAATGTTTCATCAAATGCCTTGCCTTTGTATAAAAAAAATACGTAATTTAACGTGATAGAGGCCCCTGGACTTGACTCGCATCCATGCTTCTCAATTTGAGCTCCAAAGTAGGCTTGACAAACACGTTGCCAGACTTAGCCATTTTCAGGCAGTTTCCCAGTTTTGGCATAGACTTTTGGTCAGGTTCAAAAATGGTCTTCTAGACTTTCTATTGAGCTCTCAAGTACTTTAATGTGTAGAGGGACACTTCAGCTTCAAAACAAGCCTTCAATCTCCAATTTCCATCTAGCCAATTGTAAGATATGAATCTCCAAAGTAGGCACCATGAAACTTTTTTTACACTGAAACAACAGATTAGGTCGACCTGATCCTATATGAGGTCGACCGAAAAGTGCATGTCACTGTAGCAAAGTCCAAAACTCTAACTCCTCTCACCCTCCTCCTCTCTAGCAGACAGACGGCACCAGGCCCCCCAATGTCGTCGGCCTTCGCCGATGCCGCCACTCTTCATAGCCCTCGCCGCCTGCTACCACCCCTGTCGCGCCCTCCATCATCGCCGTCCAGCAACCCTCCGCCTCCCTTCACCCCCTGCTGAGCCCTCCACCGCCGCCGCCTACGCCTCCCTCACTCCTTGCCGCCTCCGTCGTGCCTCCTCTCCTTGCCTTTTTCGGTGTGAGTTCCTCTGCCACTATACTCTTCCTCTCTTCTCCTTCGTTTTTCAGATCTGTGAGTTTTTTACTTTCATATCTGGTCTTTTTCTAGTGGGTTTTTTTTCCTGATAGTGGTACTACATGTAGTGGTACGCTACCACTACCATTTGGTACCTGGTAGTGGTACGCTACCAATACCAGGTAATGGTATCAAATGATAGTGGTACGCTACCACTATTAGGTACTAGATGGTAGTGGTACCAAATGATAGTGGTACTCTACCACTACCAGCTACCAGATGGTACTGGTACCGCTGTACTGGTAGTGGTACCAGTGGTAGCAGTAGTGTGCCATTAGCGCACTGATGGAGCGGTAATTTTTTGCAGGTGGCCGGAGCGAGTATTATTCAAGGATTTCGCCGGAGAAAGTCTATCGGTCGGAAAGTCAGCCGGTCAGAGTGGTGTGGCTGCTAGAAAAAGGAAAGATAGGAAGAGAGAGAGTTATAGTTATTGTAGGATTTAAATTTTTTAAAAAAGCATGTATTTAATATGAGTTTTTAACTCCCAATGTATAATTAATAAAAAATTTAATTAACAAATTCATTTTTTTGTTATACCCAAAATGCCCTTAGTTGTGAATCTCACAACCCATAAGGGGAAGTGACCGTATCCCACTCCCACCTATGCTTTGCCCACCGATGTGACTTGTGAGAGACCGTGTGAGACCGCCAGTAGCTAGGGATGACAATTTTGCCCATACCCATGGGTTTTTTACTATCCAACCCAATTGGGTTGGGTTATGAAATCCAAATAGATGGATATGGGGTAGAGTTTGATGGGTTTGTACTCATACCCATTTACTTTGGGTTGGGTTGGATTTATAACAAATGGATTTGGGTTTGTACCCATGCCCAAATACAAATGGATTATGGAAGCAATATCTATACCTTACCCAAACCCATCTACAAACCCCCCAAACCTATATGCACTTCACTCATACCCAACCCATTATCAATGGGTCTACTTGGGTTTGAGTATAATTACCCATGGGTGGGTAATTGTCATCCCTACCAGTAGCCCAGTATTCCCTCGCGTCACAGCCCAATACAAGAATAATGACTGGGCTCAACCCTTTAGGCCCAATCGTTTATTTGGCTGGCCGACTTCCTTTCAAGATATAAGAGGGTGGCAAAGCCCTATACCTTCCATTTTCCTAGACCCGGCCTACCTAGCTATATCTGGTCCTCTCAGCCCACACCTCCCCTAGTTAGTTTCCAGTCTAGATAACAAGGTCTTTGACCAAGAGCTAACTGAATCCATGAAACAATCATATACGAATTGGTACTGTCGTTGAATCTGATTTCCGGATACAGATGGAGTAGCGAATTCTATTGTATAGAGTTAATGTCATTTGAGCTCTAAAATATGGGTCCTAAATTCCCAAGTATATGAACTATTTATTTTTCTAGCAGTTAATTTCTAACTGTCCTAAATTCCTCCGTTTATAATTATGTCTAAATAGCTTATTGGTCACTACCTAACCACTGATTCGGTATAAAATGACCCTGAGAGGAAGATTATATCGTTGTACTTATCTGCTAACATCAAAATCTTCCCCACCAACGCCACCACCATCAGTAGTCATGAACAAGACGAACGCAATACATGAAGTAGTTCCGTAAATGAAGTCCATATTCGATGAGAGCAATTGAGTGCATTGTGCATATTCAATGAAGGCTCAAAGTTTATGCATCACTTAACACACTTGTTATCGATTTCATTTTATCTTATCAGTATGTGGTTGTTAGACTTTTGAAAATGGATCTACTTATTGCACAATGAGATTGAAACTAGCTAAACTCATATCTTATCACCTCAAATGTAACTACTGTCCCAATAAGTGGACTTGTATGGAGAGGTCTACGGATATTGACCACTTTCTTACACGCCCTCTAAAATGAAAGTCTAACTTATTAGTTTGAAGTTTGTAGAAATCACACGCCAACTAGTTCCATTAACTCGAATTGTTAGAAAAAATTCGTGTAAAAAAACTTAAGCGCGCTTCAATATAATAATAATATTTGATCTACCAAAACACAAAACAAGGGGAAGATTATTGCTTTAGTACTTCTTCAATCCTTTTCTCGTCATCAACCTCCAGTCCGCGAAGAACACGAAACAATCCAATCCAAATCCAGACCGCAGCAAGGCGGCGGCAGGAAGGAACTGCGTCCCTACAGCCGTAACTTACTTACTCCATTAACCGACCGCTGTAGCAGCTGGATCATTGACGCCATTGATTCCCTAAAAAGTCAACCAAACCCAGGAATCTGAGAAGCCAAGGCACTGCAAAAATAAGCAATTTCAGAAGGTAATTAATTATAAACGGTACGTAACCAGACGAAGAGGACTGGAACTGCAAGCAACACGTACGTAGCCCAGTATAAACGGGGCAACATCTAAATCTAAGCAATCCCCGATACAGACGTGCAGCCCACCGCATTTGCTTAATTACGGTATTTATTTTGACTCCTTGAAAACTAAGTACTAGAGCTCCCAACTACCTCGTTGATTAGTTTGGCATGAGGAACGAGCAATCGGTTTGTGGGGATAAAACTGATTCATTGCTTAAGGTTCGATCAAAAAGCAAACTCCCAGCCCAAATGACTACATCGGTTAAATACAATGAATTAAACGAGTTATATAAATCCAATCTAATTATATAAGTTAAACGAAATTAAGATTTATCATATGCATTGGGTTTTTTTTTAGGGCTAATACCACTGGGAAACCCGAACTATTAACTTTGTGCCATTTGTGTCCTAAAGTATTCGATACGACATTTGTGTCCTGACGTATGATAGTTGTGTGTCATTTACGTCCTGACAATTTTGTTGACCGTTATAGATAACGGTTGACCAAACAGTCAACCATAAAATGTTGACTTTTGGTTACATGGCACATATGTGGCAGCCACATATGCGTCACGTCAGCTGCCACATCAGATTGTTATTTTTAAATTAAAATAAATAATTAATAATTAAAATAAAAAATAAAAAATAATCCCTTCATCTTCTTCTGAACCGCAGAGCTCCAGCTCCAATCGACATGAATCCCTTCCTTCTCGTCGACTTCTTCTTCTCCGGCAGAGCTCCAGCTCTAATCGACGTGAATCCCTTCCTTCTCGTCGACTTCTTCTTCTCCGGCAGAGCTCCAGCTCCAACCGACGTGAATCCCTTCCTTCTCGTTTACTTCTTCTTCTCTGACAGAGCTCCCCGCTCCAATCGACGCGAGTCTTCTTCACGAAATGGGGAGGACCAGAGTCTTTCAGTCCCTCCATCGGTTTGGGCACAACCATTGAAGACGACGACGTCGTAGAGGAAGAAGACCCATCGTTGTTGTTGTTCGGAACTTCTTCATCGCCGCCGACGCCGCTCGGAGTTGAAGAACAAAATAGGTAAAATCAAACTTTCAATTCAAGTCAATCGAGGCCAAAATTTCAGAACTCAAATTCAATCCCTAGTCTGATTCAATGAACTCTCGCAGACGAAATCAACAATCTTCCAACCCTTCAATTTGATTTGAATCCCAGTGTCAATGCCGACTGTTCCACTACAATACAAACCTGGGAGTGTAGATTTGGAGCCGGCGGGCGACTTCCCCTCTGTCACCGACCACAAGCGACTTTCGTCGCAATCCCCTGTTACTCGGCGAGACCCAACGATGATGACAGAGAGATTGAGAGGTTTGGAGCAGCGAGAGATCTGGAGAACCAACAATCAATCGCCGACCACTGCGACGAGGATGATGTAGAGGCGAAAGAGGAAAGTGAACGAGAAGTGGCGGAATCATTGCATCCCTTAGCTTCGTTAGATCCGCCGTGAAAGTGGAGCTTGGAGACGAATCGGGGAGAGGAGTACAGGGAGCGGAAAAGCCAATTTGGGAAAGTGAACGAATTTTCCACTTTTTGTTTATTTTCCTTTTAATTTCCATTTTTTGTTATTTTTTCCTTTTAATTTCCACGTTAGATGCCACATCAGCGCTGATTAGATTTTCTGTTTAAAACTAACGGTCAACGCCAGTCAACCATAACGGAAAAATAGTTTGGGACACAATTGTCATATCGAATACTTTAGGACACAAATGACACAAAGTTAATAGTTCGGGTTTCCTATTGGTATTAGCCCTTTTTTTTATTACTACACATTCTCATGTTATGAGATTAGTCATCAGTATATCCCTGTTGTGATAAAAAAAATTGCCTAGATATAGAGGAGTCACCCGAACCATCAACATATCCCTTTAGTGTGAGGAAGTGAGACCGAAATTGATCGACTGAATACGGAGGAGTTACCCTCATTTGGTTCACCAACTGTCAGTTATAATAAAATGAGCTTGAACTTCTCTTTTCTCGAATTTCTGAATGCGCCAGTACAAGCATAACCATGTTTATTCAGAATGCAAGTTACAAAGAGAAGCCCATCATATATTGCATGTAATAATTGAGATGGATTGTCGGACGGTAATAGCCAATTTAACGATGAAGAGCATTTAAATTAGTGGAACTTGTGACGAAATAATTCAAGTTGAATAACTTTGCAATTCTCAGAAATAGACAATAACAAAAAGAAAGACATAATGTGGCACATCCATTTTCAATATGATCATCTATTTCATCATGTGGCAAATTAACCTAAGCTTTGACTAAAATCTAAAAAACTAAATCACCTAATCCAACTTATTTTAGGCCAACCCTAAAATAATTTATTGTTTCTATGAATTGATAAGCTATATATTGCAACAATTACAATTTCTTTTAAATCCTTCACCAAACGCTATGTCATATTCCTCCCCTATAAGAATTTTATAATCTTTTTGCTTTAACATATTTGATTAATCAGCTTGACATTTCGAGATGCTTGCTGGCTTGTTTCTTAAGGGACCAAAACATTTGGATGATCAAGGAAGAACATCATGAGTCATAACAATAATAAACTCTTCTTTCTGGTCCAATATTCTCAAACAGAGATGCTAATTCTATTACGATAAGGGATAGCAATACACAAAAAAAGGAATAATTGTTACAAACATTAAACTAATAAGTCTGGAAATAAAATAAAATTTTAATTAAAAAAACATGCGTGAATGGTTGGATAAAATAGAACGGAAACCAGAGCTTATTCATTTATTTAATTTATGTACAGAACAGAACAAGCTACCAATAATTGCACAATATAAAAATCGATAATAAAAAAATAGCAGATAGTATAGAAAACAGCAACAAAAAGCTGATTAAAGCTAATCAAATTTGCATCTGAGGAAGAGAATCCAGTTCTTCTTCCTCCCACTCTGCACTCTGTGTTCCTTCCTTCCTCACTCCCAGCCGCTCTGTCCGCCTATTCCCCTCTCAACCCTCTTTTAGTGCGAATAACATCTGTACCGATTCGATCTTCGAGAAATCCTTTCCATATTCGGAGTCACAGCAGAAACCCAGAATTCAACTTTTGGAAAAGGATAGGGGGCAGTGAGCTAGCGGGGAATCCAATTGCAGCGATTCCGCCCACCTGGCAGCCGAATTCGGCTACTATATAAAGCTAAGGAACAAGCTACTTCAAGAAATCAAGCTGGCTTTCTCAGACGGAGCTGTGTTGGCCGCCGAGGCCGGAGGAGGTGGACTCGCCGACGAGACCGTTCCTCTTGTAATGGACGCCGACGGCGGAGGAGGAGGAGAAAGGTTTGGTGGGCAGAGGAGGAAAGTTGGCGATGAGGAGAATTTGGCCGTTGAGGTTCCAGAGACTGCCCATCAGATTAGCAGCGGTGAGCCAGTTCATCGTTTCTTCCTCTGTTTTTCCCCCCTTTTTTCTTTTGTCGTTTACTTTGCCACTAGCGCCAGTGGGAATTGTGTTGTATAATTGTGTCTGAATTATGATTGGCTGCTTTCTTTTTCTCGGGTAAATGTGATTGGATGGATGAAAAAGGCAGGATCTTTTTCTCCCCGGTAAATGTAAAAGAAAAGAATGTTTTTCTTTTGTTTCGTACGTCAAGAACAAGTCTAAACCAACGTACCCTTTGTTTTTGTCTTGTGATAATGCTATTGCCATTCTGCGTATTTTGAATTCTTTATGCGTGGTATTAATGATAAGTACGAGCTGGAATCATTTCAGTATATATATATATATATATGGAGTTGACTTCCCTAAAAAATAATGAGTTGACCCTTCTTATCATGCTAAAGAAATGATTTTGACTAAATGGGGTTCTCAAAAGTTGAATGCTTATTTGGGATTTGGGATTTGGATGATATAGACATTACTGGTTCAGTTCATTATATGGAGACTTGCTTCCCTGTGTAGCCAGTTTGTTAGCATAGAGCTGGAGAGTCGAGAGTTGGGACTAATTTATTTAACCTCACTCTGCTTTTGGCAGATTCATGGTTCCAGGTAGGATTTGTTCTTACAACTGGGATCAACAGTGCCTTTGTACTAGGTTATTCAGGGACCATAATGGTCCCTTTGGGATGGACTTATGGAGTGGTCGGTCTAATTCTGGCCACAGCCATGTCATTGTATGCAAACTCTCTCATCGCCAAGCTACATGAGTTTGGAGGGAAAAGGCACATCAGATACAGAGATTTGGCTGGCTTCATATATGGTTAGTATGTGCAAACAAAACAGCAAACATCAATGGAGGTTCTTACCATCTGAGTGATGTATCTAATCTTATGGTGGCTTTTGTTTTGCCTGTGTACTTGCAGGAGATGGAGCTTATTATATGACATGGGGTTCTCAGTATCTGAATCTGTTCATGATCAACACTGGTTTTATCATAGTTGCTGGTCAGGCTCTTAAGGTGAGTCAGAACTAGTGTGGGGTGGAGCTTATTTAGATATGGCAATCCATAGTGGATGTTTTGATCTGAGCGCGATGTCGAATTTTTGTTTAGGCTGCCTATGTTCTTTTCGACCAAGATGGTCCGATGAAGCTTCCATACTTCATAGGCATGGCTGGATTTGTATGTGGTCTGTTTGCCATTTCAATTCCTCATTTGTCAGCACTCAGACTCTGGCTTGGAGTTTCAACACTTCTCAGCCTGATCTATATCATTATCGCCTTTGTGCTCACGATTAAAGATGGTACGCGGATCGTTCATTTAGTTTAATCAAACCTCATCATCTGCTGTTTAGCAGCAATCTACATCCTCAGCTGACCTTCTGAGACTCATTTGGTTTTTAGGGGTCAATGCACCTCCCAGAGACTACAGCATCCCGGGGACAACTACAAGCAAGATCTTCACAACCATTGGAGCAACTACCAATCTTTTCTTTGCATTCAACACAGGAATGCTCCCAGAGATACAGGTAGTTAAATTCATTCGACTGGACTCAGAAACCGCCTGCAGCTTAAATTTGAGTGATGATCTGAAAAGTCTGATCTCAAAACTGCAAACAGGCAACAATAAAGCAACCAGTAGTGAAGAACATGATGAGAGCACTCTACTTCCAGCTCACAGTTGGTGTTCTGCCAATGTATGCCATCACTTTCATTGGCTACTGGGCTTACGGATCATCCACATCAACCTATTTGCTTAGCAGCGTGGATGGTCCGGTTTCGCTCAAGGCATTGGCCAATATAGCTGCATTCTTCCAATCAGTCATTTCTCTACACGTAAACAACTATCCAACACACATGTGACATGACCCTTCTGCTTGTAGAGAAAAATTGCACCGTATACAGAACTCACTAATCCTGTTGGCTTAAATACCTGCAGATATTCGCGAGTCCTATGTACGAGTTCTTGGACACGAAGTACAAGATCAAGGGAAGAGGATTCACCATCCAGAACCTGACATCCAGGATAGCAGTGAGAGGTGGCTACCTCACCTTCAACACATTGGTTGCAGCACTGCTGCCATTCATTGGAGATTTCATGAGCCTTACCGGGGCGATTAGCACGTTCCCTCTCACGTTCATTCTAGCAAACCACATGTACCTAGTGGCTAAGAGGAACAAATTGAACTCGTTTCAGAAGCTATGGCATTGGCTCAACGTGTTGTTCTTTGGGGTTCTGTCGTTTGCAGCACTTGTTGCTGCTCTACGGCTGATTGCTGTTGACTCCAAAACCTACCATTTGTTCGCGGACTTGTAATGGTGGCTTCCCTCCAGATGCTGCCCTGCCCCACCTGATTTGTAACGATCAGGAAAATAGGCTTATATAGTTCATAATACAGCGCTGGTACAAACACAGCGTTTCTGTAAAGTGTTTGTGCAAAGAAGTCGCAAAAATGGCGCTTCAGTTTGTATTGTTAATCGAGTAGGGTTTTGAAATCCTCGAACAATAACAGTTGCTAAGCACGTTGGATCCTCCCACATCCTGGCTTCTGCAAGTCCCTAAAAATTTGGTCAGTTTGGTCCAATTTGTGATTCTTTGACAGTGGTGGTTCGGTTGGATAGTGACTTTCAGGACTCTGTCATTCCTTCTCTTCCACAGGTACCAGCATGAAGTGCTGATCACCTAGTCCGACAGAATCCTCATCATATTGGGTCTTTGCTCAAAAGATTGTTTTTTCTTCTACAGAAAAGGGAATTTTTCCCTTACCAAAAAAAAAAAAAGGAGAAAGAAAGGGAATTTTTCTTTTAAAGCTGGAGAGTGACTGAGCTTTATTCCTCTAAGGGAAGCTTGGTCCAACTCCTTTGTAAAGAGAGGAATCATATAAAGTTGGTGAGTAGTATGAAGACTCCAGATGAAAAATGATTTCTTTGATGTATGCCTCTTAAAGTTTGGAAAAGGTTGTAAGGAGTGTTTATTACACACTATCGAGAATCTAATTCATAGAAAGGTGTCTCAGAATTAAAAATATCGAGATATCAATAAGTTTCAGTCTACGAACATGATCAAAATAATCTCAACTCGTAAATTTATATGTTTTACTTATATCTCATTTGAACATCATTTCTTATTTGATCCTTGTTCATCATGTGTCATTATATCTGGTGCTTATTTAACAACTAACAAGCGTCTCGTATTTTTGCCATACAAAATTACAAACAACTAGTAAGGAAGCCCGCGCTTCGCGGCGGGATGATCAGGATGTTCCATTCGACAATGTTAGGGAAAATATGCAGTCGGTGCAGAAATGCACTGCATACGGGAATAAATAAGTTGAGTGCAATATTAATAAGCATTCTCTAGTGCATTGTTCAAGAGCTAACGGAAACGGAAGACATAAATGTACCTGAAATCGCAGAAGTATTTGTTCTTCTAAGTCAAATTATAACCACTACACCGCAATAAGCATTAGACGTGAACACATGACGTACTAACGCTGTTTATGTGACTCTAGTAAGGAAAAGCACGCGCTACGCGACGGGCGCAATAGGTACGGGATCATATTAGTTAGCTAGTTAGCTTCTGCTAAATAACCGGCAACACACAAAAGAGAGGTAAAATGAACCTTTGGATCGCTACCCAAGTTAACCATAGCTTGGCCTCTCTTATCTATATACCTCCTAGCGTCGGGAGGTGTGTGTTGTAACACACACTGTAAAACATATTCATTATAACCTAATAACACTAAATGTATAATTACTTATAATTTAAACATGTAAAACATATTAATTATAACCTAATAACACTAAATGTATAATTACTTATAATTTAAACATTTGAATTAATAATACGCATACATAGTGCACTGGAAATAACATTTAGAGGATCTTACCCAACCAAATCGTAACCCATTGTTTGGACTGAATTGCAGCACCTGAAGTAAATACCTTATTATTTGGCCGACTACAATTTCGGCTAGTGGACAGTATCTCGGGATTTATGAGTTAGAATGATGCGAAAAACATCCTAATTGACATAATATATTGATATTCAATTAAGATAGCTATCGTCAACAACTCCCTTGACAATCACCTTTTACACGGCTCAAACAACACTGGATACAGCAATATATAGAAACCAAGAATTCTAAAAAGAAAGTGAAAATGGATGAGCGGGGATCAGGCATAGATTGAACTTCAACTGGTGATAACTAAACTACCTAGAAAGCAATTACAGAATTTAGTCAGAAATCCATCCCAAAAAATCAGTCAAATGAACCTATCAAAAATCATATGTATGGCATCCATAGACATAAATGGATAGTAGAGGGTAAGTTCCATGTATTAGGGATAAATCTGTACTCATATTGACGTAAGTTTCCTTGTCCTACATGAACCTGTACAATTGTGGGTATAAATGCCCCTTCTCAATGTCAATACAAACACACGATTCACATTCTTACAGCTTTAATCCCGAAACCCTAGCTCTTCGTTGCAATCTAGAATTTCGGCGCCCACGATCAGCGTCGAGTCGCCTGCTGTCCAACATGTCCGACAACAGCTCGGTCACGTCAATACAAACACACAATTCATATTCCTTACACCATGGAGCCAACAGCTGGGCGCAAAAACAACCTATTGAAACACTATAGCAATTCAACTTACAGAATCAGTAGGAGTAACTATCATGAACCTGTGTTTATATATAAGGCAACATCTTACTAATCAAAAAGAAATTGATTAAAGGTTAAAGAAGAATTTATGAACTACACGACACAGGAAGTTCGGTTTCTTCATCCCATGGCAACATATGTTCATCGATTGAAAGAAACTGTGGATTGAGGAGAAATTGACATGAAAGACGGCTGCTTTAGTTTAATGAACTTTATTTTTATCCTCCTCTGTGATTCCATAATACCAATAAAACTTCTATTTCTATTCAATTACAGAATGCTAAGAAATTGAGTCCATTTCAGCCTAGAAATCTCACCAATTTAAATGTTGCAGAATAAGATGCTTACAGTTCAGCCTATAAGTCCTCAAATGCATACCTGCAAACCCAGGCATAAAAGCAAGCAATCTGATTTGTAATAAAGCTCTGACCTGACATTGTAAGCAAGCAAAGAGTTTTAGATATACAGAGCCACGAATAGATGTAAACCTCGAGTTCATCAGTGTTCACTAAGCAGCTTAAGAAAGCATAATCAACCTCACCGAACCTCAAACAGAATGAAAATGGCAGTGCACTGTATGGGTCGAGCAAATAAAACAAAAAAAGAACATATAAAAGATTTTTAATGGGAAATAGCAATTATTATGAACGTGTAAACTTAGAGTTAATGAGAATAGTGCCAAGTCTAGCCATGGCATCCTGATAAGCTGATTTTTATCACCATCTCTCTAAGGTTACAAATTCAACACACAACAAAATGGCAGCATGCTGATTGCTGATACACCATGTTTATTCCTTGTCATATCTTGAAATGCCTTTTGCCAATCACTTTTTTCAGTATTGGTCTTAGTGGCAAAAATAAACCACACACAGAAAAGGGCAACACAACCAAAACCGAATGCTAATTTAACATGTAGATACTGCATTACTGGCAACACTTGTATCAGTACTTACATTCAGTAGGTAGCTCCAATAGTCTCCACTTCATTGAGATATGAGGAATGTGATGTTAAATGAAGAAGAATAAGTGATACTGCTGTCAAGTAGAGTAGTCTAGTTAGTGTAGTCATATAAGGGGGGAACAACCCCTAAAGGGACATAATTACCAACAAAGGGGACAAATCTGCAATGTAAAGGCAACTGCACAAAAAATGGAGATCACGACATTATGTGTGATGGTTCAATTTTGTCCAGTCCTACCTTCTCAAGAACACTTAGAAAGCAAGCAACATATTATTGCACATCAACATTCATAAACCGTAAAAATACTCAGATTCATGAAAATAGTAGGATCTAAGGTAGAGCAAAATAAAGATTACTTCTGTCATAGCAAAAACTGCAAAAGTCACAGAGAACAGTGGCTAACCTGGACCTACTTCAAAAGCACATATATGCTTTCTTGAGTTGCTGCTCCCAATCAACTGTCCTCTCCAGAAGTTATAGTACAGGTACTCCAGTTTTTGGTTAATCCACAAGGCAAGCATTACCTGCACATCTATGCACCACATACATTTAATAGATAACCAAAACTACCATTTTGATCTCAATACTCAATAAGAAAAAGAACACAGACCTTGAAATCCCATGAAGAGGTCACACGTAAGGGAACTGACATACATTTTTTTATGGAGTTAGACTCAAAGGACAGTTAGAATAGGGGAAGTCCCCTAATTATGTTTCCACACTATTATTAATCAACCTGCCATATGTGAAGGACCTCTACCGAGTTCTCCACACTCGGAAATCAAACGAAAGGGAAAAAGAAAGCTTAAATGGGTCGATCATGGACGTCAATGCAGATATAGAACCCAAAATAACAAAACTTTTCACAGTAAATCTGGAAGATTGAGAAAGAGAGTCCTAAAATAGAAGTTCCTCCACCGAATGAATCTTTGACAACAACAAAACTAATTAGATCAAAGTGAAACGGAGGGAAAAACTTCAAATGATGTTTCTGGTTCGCTTGCCCGCTCTGACGACTCTAATGTTCAGATCGATTGTCAACTCTAAAACACCGAATCGCTATCCGAAATAGCAAACAAAAGCGATGAATCAGAAAGAGAAAACAGGACAGATTACCAGGGGGAGAAGGGGAAAAAAAGATAAGGAAAAGACATATAAAATGACCTTCGCCTATGCCTAGCCACTGTCTCAAGAGGATAGGATTACGACGATGTTGCGGACAGTGTCTTACCTTCCCAAATCCCCATCAGCGAATTCGATTATAAAATCTCCAAGACCAGACGTGCTCTTCTGAAACAGGAAAAGAGGGCATGATCACATTCAAGGAAAATCGGAAAAACAATAACCTAAAAATGAAAATCCAAAAATCGAACCTGCTTCTTCCCCAACCCAACCGTCAATCTCTCAAACCCGACAATCAATCAAAACCTGAAACCCAACTCATATATGATTGGGGGATGGGAGGAAAAAGCCAAGGAATTGCCATTCAGTAACCGCAGGAAAAAAGGGAAAAAATGGCAGGGGAAGGAGAAGGAGGGTGGGGGAGAGAGAGACCTGAGTTCACGACGACGGGAGGAAGGTTTCGCAAAGCATTCATCTAATGGTCCAGCAGCATTTCGCTGAGATTCCACGATCAACTCAGCTCTCAGAAAATCCCATCAACTCAAAGGGCAAGAGAATCAGCATGCTCTGGCTTGAGAATCGCCCACACACCATCTTCGGATTTTGCTTCGTCGGAGAGGGATCCTCACAACCGAGACTTCTTCGTGCGGAACCGTTTGGGCAACAGAAACCAGAGAACATAGTTAAGAATATGCATCTAATCATAACAAATGTGAGAGATGAACCAAAACCATCAATATCGACTTATCACCTTCAAATGTCAGGACAAGCAAATCTGGTTTCCTTCCGTCGCCAATCTCGTTCTCCACAATGGATCCTCTTCAACATGGATTTATAACCCAAACCACAGATCTTCAGATTGGTAGCTCTTCGCTGGAATTGATGACCATCTCCGGGGCTTATGAACTCGGTGACGGTATCTTCTAATAATGCATAGGTTGAGAGTGATGGAGAACGAATCTGTCTAGAAAAAAAACATAAGAAACCCACCTTGCGGTTCTGTGTATCCTCCGATTTCTCTCGCCCAAACGAATCTGGGATTGCTGTGGCAGATCCTTTCTTCCACCAAAATCAATAAACATATAAGAACCCTTAAACTCCCCAAACATAGAGTCAAATAAACAAAAAAAAAACACTTACCAGACTTTCAGATTTACCGTGTACCTTCTTTTACCCACCTCCTTCCTCCTTCTCGGGTGGATTCTTCTTCCTGCCAAGATTGCCAACGGGGACCCTTCTCCCTTTATTCCACCAAAAGCAATAAACATATCAGAATTCTTAGAATCCCTAAAACATAAAATAAAATAATAACAACGCTTGCCACACTTTCATATTCGCCCCAGTAAGTTCTTCTCCCTACCTCCTTCCTCCTTCTCGGATGGATTCTTCTTCCTTCCAGCCAACCATCGCCATTGAATTGGTCGTGAGCATCCCTCCTCGTTGGCAGTCTGAATTCCACCAGTGACTTCGTTCCTTGCACCGACCTCATCAGCGAGAATATTTTTGGTGTAGAAAGTCTCAAATTCAGGAACTTCCATTGCATGTATTTCCTGAGAAACTCTAGCATGGTTCGCCTATGTACAAATGATACAATTAGAGTATGAAATTAAATGAAAAGCAAAGGAAATTATTTCTTTAACAATCGAAGTTAACTAAAAGGCAGCACTCACAACGTCAATTTTCAAAATTACAGGCTAAACAATGGCTATAATGGCGCTGAAACTACCGAAGGAAACAATTTGTAAAATTAAATAATACATAAACTGAAACTACTTTCTAACCTGAAATATGACATGAGCAGTTCATATGTCTCCTCTCAGTATGAACTGGTTGCGGCTCGTCCTTATCACTGCCTCCCGCCTTTTACATCAGTCTCCATTCAGAAATCACTGATAAAATACACCTAAATATCAATTAGTGCACAGGGCAGCAACTAAAAATTCCTTATTTTCTAGATAGCATCACAAAATTGAATTCATATCAATAACAGGAGACGGTGAAGCTAACCTAACTTACCATTTAAGAGGAAGGAATAATTAAGATGATCGAGAACATAAACAGGTTATTATATACAAAACCTAGATTCGTGGAAGGGGGCAATACCCGTCAAAGGAAACCCCAAGAAAGACTAAACGAATCACAAAAGAAAGGCAAAATATGGGAAACATAAAGAGAGGAGAAGGTATGGCTAAAACACACCCAGATTCATGGAAAGAAGGAAAAGTTCTGAGCATACTCGAACAACGATCAAATCAACTGTGAACAAAAGACAAAGGAGAGAGAACATAAATGCATAGGTGGGATCATACCAGTAAGTGACATTGAATAAGAGTCTCGCGGAGGAAGTGGAATGTTAAAACCTGAACCTTCTCATGACGTTATAGAGATCTTCTCCGTCGTTAGCGCCACCAAGTGAGCAAGGCCTTATAGTAAAACAATCTGACCCATCTACGACCGGAAAGGCACAACAAATGTATTTTAGCTCAAAAAAATGGCTAAGATAATTGAGCATGCAGCAGGAGGGCAACTCGTATATCTGATAAGGCGCCACTTCATCACTATTAAGAGGGTAACTAATAGGAAATGCCAAAAACTTTTAAACCAAGGTACTTTATGAAAAGTACATACATGAACCTAGTTTTGCCAGGCCCTGTTGACTAAGAAGGTTTCTACCCTACATGTTTGGGAAATGACCCGAAACTTTATGCAAAACTTGGGTTTCATTAATGTACCAAAGCAACTCGAAGAAGAGGTTGACAAATCTAGGACATACAGTCAGCAGTCAATTCATGTATATAAATCGACCTTGATTACAATATTTAAATGACCCATACTACCATCCTTAAAACTTCATTGAAGGAGTGATAAGCTGATATCGGTGGAAACTACAAACTCAAAATAAGAGGCATGTATATAACGGACCCCAAAACCTCAGATCAGATAGAAAGAGGCATACAAAGAATCGGGTAATCAGTCCCGTCAACAATTCATCCTTGGCTTGCTTCCCAAAGCGTGACGATCAATTTCACTGAGGCTGCTCATAAAAGAGATGTTTCAGCAGTAGTCATAATTGACACCACACCATAAGCCAGAAAATGGTGTTCAGCTGTTCTTTATGACACCGAGCTATGGTGTGAACATGAAGGCAAAGTTTTAAAAAGATATATAGTTCCAATTAGGAAACAAACTTATAGGAAGCTAAAAATATGAGGGCTTCAGAATTGCAAAGAAGAACAAACTAAAAGCAATCTAAACTACATTGATGCATATTGCTTGATTTGGAATCTCACATAAAGCTGTAATATTAATCTGTATATATAATCCAATCAATTGGAAACAAACAAAGCAAACAAGCTCCAAGACTCCCAAGCATTAATTTGTATTTTGTGGTTTCCTCACTGAAAGTAATCAAACAAACAGAGACTAAAGAAGTAAGGGGCTTCTCACCTGCGGTGACTTAAGGCGCCGCTGCGTTCTTCTTCTTCGTTAAAGTTCTAAAGAGAGAGTAGAGTTATCCCTGAACTTCCCAAAGAGTCGGTCACAGTTCGTCACTATCATTGCCCCTCGAGCCAACAGAATAAAACCTATAACTCTGCAGCCAGCTGGACCAGCAGTTTAGCAAAAGAGAGAAATATCAATTAGACTTCCGAATTGATTACCAAAGCCACAGTGCAACCCCAACTAAAGTTAGAACCAGGGGATATTTGAGGTCAATCTCCAAGATAGTTGTTTTACATTGGTTTGGGTTCTTCGCAGCACCACATGTGTTATTGTCCATCAAGCACTGTTGACCAAGCTTCTGTTTGTAAAATTGTAAGTAAAAAAAATAGGATTTTGTCAACAAAGTAGCATGCATCTGCCCGCTAATTGAAACATAAATCTAAAGAAGAGGCTTCATACATTTAACATAGTGGGTTAGCTAACTATTGAGTGCATTCAGAAGAAGCGAGAACCTGTAGAACTCCTTTCATATGATCCGTTAAAATAATGACTCTAGTAATGAAGTATGCACCGCTCCCATTACGATTCAGTTTCTGTTGTTCAAACCCACCAAATACATCTAAATCGGATATATTTGGACCCATATATCACAACCACAAAAACTAAACCCCAACCTTCTCGGCGTTTCAGCTCTACAACTAACTACGACCTCCGCGATTGAAATACTTGCTTCATATCCATGTCATTCAGTACTAACAAACATACGACCGACGCAAAATAATCAAGGCAGGTTCGATACAGTATCCTGATCAGTATTGTATGGTTAATGATGTTCCCAAGTTCAGTAAGAACAACTAAAAAAATAAAGTAATGGTTATTCAACAACCACCTTTAGAGTTACGAAATCACAGAAGAAGTTAACTGAATTCGTAATCAAGTGCTATACTCATAGAGGAAAAGCATGACTGAAATTTGAAAGAAGAGAGACAGGAGAATACCATAGATATGTCAAAAGTCATTGGTTGGTGGATAGTAAATTGGACTTCCCGGCAAATGAGGGCTTGGATCAAAGGAGGGACTTTCCATCTGTCATAGTAGTTGCTGCTCCCGCTGTATTTCCTTTTAGGTTATAATAATTCCATTGTTCCTTGAAACAGAGAACAATCTGAGTTTCATAAGGCCATACAACAAAAGTACAAAACAAAAAAATTTAAATTGGCTAGTGATGTCTGAGGTAGACTATGGCTGCATTCTAAGTGGAACCACATTGTACAATGATCACAGCCATGGTTGGCAAGATTTGAGAAGGCAACGTCCACTCCACTGTTGTTTTAAATGGTACATAATACATGCATAATTGTTTGTCGGTAAACATTTGAGAATGTGTAAGTTGTAATCAAACACTAAATTTACATTAAAAAAAACCACCCACCGGGAAAGATTATTTAAGATATTAAAAGAAGATTAAGTTGAGCACCTAATATAAATCAGTGGCATTCAAATCAACTGTGTTTGAAAGCAACAGAGAGCACAATTACTTGGTGCTCATATTAAGCTGTCGTTGACCTGGTAGGAATATAGCTTGAGATAAAAACAACTCATTGATTAGAAGGGAAAATAACATCGTATTCTGTCAAATATCTAAGTATTGGTTTCTGAGGCATTCAACTAACTTCAATTAGAGTAAGAGTAGGGAGGAAATTGCATCTGAATCTGAATTCTAACAAACCAAATTTCAGAACTCATTCAGCTAACTTCATGGTAAATAGGAGCAGGAAACTAACATTTTTTTTTCTTAATTATAAAAGAAGGGGTAAAAAATAGAGGTAATAGCAAAAGATATTCAACCTAACCTCTCCCTTTCCAAAGTTTAATCTCATGCAGCAAGTACTTTATATGGTCCAAGAGCGTAGCTGGGCAAATCAAATGGAACTGTGTCAGGCAAAATAGCATGTTTCCTTCAAAAGATTAAATTTGAAAGCGTAAATAGCTAAGGCACTTCAACTGGAAAGCAATCGATTACCAAAATGGGATGCCGCTGAAATTCGCCAGTACGCAGAATGACAGTAGGAAACGGCAAAACTCTGAAGTAGCCTAGTTTTGTAACTGGACCAGAACATAAGAAACCTGAAAAGTAAGAGTAGAACTATATAAAATCACAAAATTAGTTTGACCCATCATCCCCATAGCTAATGCAGTAAGCATACTTCTGAAATATATCTTTTCACAAACGCTGCTCTGGGATGGCAGTGAATCTTTCCATTGCATGTGCATTGGTTAAGGGAGTTCAACGGCATCAATTACTGAATCTATAACAGATGATAGCGAGAAGTTACCTGAAACCGAAAGTAACACCACATAGCCACCACGTAAGGAAAACTCCAATGTACTGGCCCCAGTTCTCATAATCTTCGAATTCAGGGCAGCACAATTTCGTATAAGAAACCAGCAACCAGTCTCGAATGGAAGGAAATCAACCCTTTTCGTCCAAGACATAAGCAAGTTCCTTAACATTGCATATCCACAACCTGCCATACAAACGATTTATGTTCCTGAGATACCACAACACCCACCAACCAATTCCATATCATTAGAAAAGATGGAAACAATGAAACAAAGAAGACCTAAGTCTTACCTTGCTTGCATATATGAACAGGGAAGATGTGCTTATTCAATGGGGCAAATCCAATTCAACAGCAAACAACTCCTTATTTGCGTTCCTCCTAACCCATCCCATATCACATGCCTGGACGGAAACAAACACCAGAGTAAAAAGATAAATTATCTAACCGAACAACAAAAAAAAAGGGCCAAACTCAGCAGAAAAAGTTAAATGACATAAACAGAAATGAAACCAGATAGATAGCTCTAGAGATAATAAAAAAAACATGGGAAGCTGCAGTTGGCACTAACCAATGGGCAATGTTACGGGTTTTTTGAGCGCTGTGATGCAACGTCCATCTTTGCATATCGAAGGAGCCTGTACAGAAAGGGGCAGGATGGCCGGGAGTCGGATGGAATCCAGACTTACTTAACCCAGATTGATTTGTTCCTGATCATACAAACCCTAGCCAGAGAAACCCAAAAAGGCGTGACTAAACTCCAATGGGAATAGAGAGAAGAAAATAATTCCACAAAAACAACTTACCGCCTTGGTCGCGGTTGACAGCAGTCCCACCGCCGGCGGCATGACATGTTCCTTCTGGCATGAGTGTAGACGAATCACTTCCTTCTTCCTGATCAAAAACCCAGGAACAAAAGATGACAAGAAGTAAGAATTAAAACCAAACAAAAAATCCAAGAATGACAATATGCAAAAAAAAAAAATGATTGTCACTCGTTGCTGGGACCATCACCGACGTCCATTGCCAACCTTCATCGTCGTTCACGCCTTCCCTTCTCTTCATCGATCCAAAAGGACGTTCTAACCAAGTAAGAGAACAAAGAAAAACAGAAAAAATAAACGAACAGATTCGGAGAAATAAGATCGGCGGCGTTAAGAACACTAAAAAATAAGAAAACTCACGATCTAGCCAACCAGGCGTCGAATGACTCTCCTTCATTGGCAAGTTTGCCGCTTCATGGGCGATTTCGGAGATTTGAGATCGCAGAGCGCGAAAGAGACGACGTCGGAGAGAAGAGAGAAGGAAGAGCACAAGTGAGGTGGGGTGGGGTGGGGGTTCCTTCTTCTCCTGGTTCTTCTGCTTCCTGCGTCTTCTTCTTCTTCATATTCTTCCTTTTTTTTTTTTCGTTCTTGTACAGAGAGAGGGAGAAAGAAACAAGTGGGTTGTTGGTGTACAGAGAGAGGGAGAAAGAAACAAGTGGGTTGTTGGTTTCTGTAGAAGGAAGAGAAAGAGAGAAGAAAAGTTGTGTGGCTGGGAAGAGAGATGGGAGGGAAAAGCAAAAAAAATATCTGTAAAATTTCCAAACAAGTTCCCAAAGTTTCTTTCAATTTCGAAATAGGCACTTGTGTGATGTGACTCTACCAAACAGTAACATGTAGTTTGTTCTTTTAAAGAGATCCACACCCGACCCAACAAAAGCGGGTAAAATTCGTTCCCGACCCAAAATTCGGCAACACCGAGACCGGGTCGAATTCGATTGAATATAGCTTTTAACAAAAGCGACACACAACTCAATTCGTTACTTACAAAAGTTGGTAAAATCTGTTGCCGGAAAAAAAGTCGGCAGCACCGAAACCGGATCGAATTAGATTGAGTACACCCGACTCAGCAAAAGCGGGTAAAATTCGTTCCCAAAAAAAATCTGGCAACATCGGGACTGGGTCGAATCAGGTTGAATATAGTTTTTAACAAAAGCGACAGACAACCCAATTCGTCATTTACAAAAGTTGGTAAAATATGTTGCCGACAATAAATTCGGCAACACCGAAACCGGATCGAATTAAATTGAGTACACATGAATTTAGGTACATAAAAAGAAATCATTAAACATAAGATTAATGAAAGAGAGAGAGAGGGAGGGATGAAGATTGATGGAGGGGGGAGGAGTTACGGGAGTGGTGAAAATGAATGGATGGGAATAAGTGCAGGAGAGAGGAAAGGAATAAAGAAATAAAACATAATTGCATTTTTAGTCCTCAGTAAAGTCTTGGTTAATGGTTAATTACAAAAGAGAGCCACCTATGCATGTCAGAACTCAGAAGAAGGGCCAATCAGAAAGGAGAACAAGAGGCAAAAAAGCAAACCAAGTCACAGTGTTTGGATGTGACTCTACCAAACAGTAAACTTGTAACTTGTTCTTTTAAAGAGATAACTTAGGCTGATGGGTGGTATTAATATTCATTTATTAATAAATTTTAGATGTATTGCAGAAAGCAACAGCTAAGCTAAAAGCCTAAAACAGAACAAATTGACTCGCGCGAGAAGAAGGAATGAAATGAACGGTTCTCTTTCTTTCTCTCCTTCTTCTTCTTCCTTTCTCTCTCAGCCCCACTAAATGCGAACAAGATCTCTGCTTTCTCGACCTCCGGAATTTTGTGCCCCCAACAGAAAAAAAAGCAGTAATCTTGAATAAAAAAACCAAAAAAAAAAAAATAGATAGAGAGAGGGAGAGAGGGAATTGGGAACAATCCATATCGGGTCGCATTGATTCCACCCGCCTGGCCGAAGAAGTCGGCAACTATATAACTGAAGTGATAATCTCTGAATCAAATCAAGCTGGCTTTCTCTCACAGTTTAGTGTTGGAGGAGGAGTCGGCGACCGACGAATCACCAGGCGGAGACGCCGAGGAAGCCTTTTCTCTATTGCCCCAACCACCAACCACCCTTCTGATCATGGACAGAAACGGCGACGGCGGCGGAGGGGATTTTTCTGGGCCGACGAGGAAAGTTCATGACGAGGAAAACTTAGCCGTTGCAATCCCCGAGACTGCCCATCAGATTAGCAGCGGTGAATTCCTCTCTCTACTTCAATTTTCTTTTTTCCTTATTAAGTTCTGTTGATCCCCTTTTGGTTTGACCATTTTTGGCGTCTTGTGGCTGCTGACATAATCCGAAGGTGTGCGGTTTTCGAGTTTTCTTAAGGATCATATTTCAGTTGGCTCTTGTTCATGTACTTCTTTAGGCCTTTTTCAAACAAATGATTGTTTTTTGGTGGGAAAAGGAAGATAAAAAGGATTTTTGTTTGAAGGTGGGATTCACGTTTGATATAGAACACTACTCTGTCTCGCCATTTCTTACTTATGAAGTTGAAAAGGGAAGCTTTGTCCTAATCATTTATCATCTGAATCTCTTTGGACACTCCTTTTTGTGAGAAGGAAATGGTTTTCTGGAAATGGGTGTGACAAAAGATTGTCTTTGATCTCTTATTTGGGGTTTTTGTCAGATGGAGAGCTCTGGTTTTTGGTTCACACTCACAGTCACAGTGATGCTGATAACTTAAACTTAATTCTTGACAGACAGTGATGCTGATAACTTGAACTTAATTCTTGACAGACTCATGGTTCCAAGTGGGATTTGTTCTTACAACTGGGATCAACAGTGCCTATGTATTAGGCTATTCAGGGACCATAATGGTCCCTTTGGGATGGGTTCCTGGTGTGGTTGGTTTGATTCTGGCCACTGCCATCTCATTGTATGCGAACTCTCTGGTGGCTAAGCTACATGAGTTTGGAGGCAAAAGGCATATCAGATACAGAGATTTGGCTGGATTCATATATGGTATGTGAAATATGTTACCTCGTAGCCACTGTTGCAGCATTAGTTCAATTGATTCAAATGTTTGCTTTGTTCCTCCATGTCTGCTGCAGGTAAGAGAGCTTATTCTGTAACATGGGGTTTGCAGTATGTGAACCTTTTCATGATCAACACTGGTTATATCATCTTAGCTGGCCAGGCTCTTAAGGTGAGCTGATTGAGTCGTCTCTCAGGTTGCAGCTTTTTCGTTACTGTTTGGTCTATAGACTGTACCTATATGGCTGGCATACATTATGGATTTTTCTTTGTGTTTCTGTCTGGATGTTTCTAAATCCAGGCTGCCTATGTTCTTTTCGATGAAGATGGTCCAATGAAGCTTCCCTACTTCATAGCCATTGCTGGGGTTGTTTGTGGCTTGTTTGCCATTTCAACTCCTCATTTATCAGCACTGAGAGTTTGGCTGGGAGTCTCAACAGTCCTTAGCCTGATATACATCATAGTTGCCTTTGTACTCTCCATTAAAGATGGTACATTTTGCGTGTTCTCTGAATCCCTTTTGCTGTTTAGTGAAGGCACTTGTTTTAAGGTTGATAATCCTCCTTAGTTCCGAGTATTCTGAAACATTCGATGCTGATTTCAGGGGTCAATACACCAGCCAGGGACTACAGCATCCCAGGAACCACAACGAGCAAGATCTTCACGACAATTGGAGCATCTGCCAATCTCGTCTTTGCATTTAATACAGGAATGCTTCCAGAGATACAGGTACTTGAGAAGTATTTAGAAGTTCTGCAGCTTTATGTGGAACTTTAAATTTATTCCCTTACATAAGTTTGTTTGAACTCGATTTACAAACAGGCAACAATAAAGCAGCCAGTAGTTAACAACATGATGAAAGCACTCTACTTCCAGTTCACGGCTGGAGTTTTACCCATGTATGCTGTCACTTTCATCGGCTACTGGGCATATGGTTCATCCACATCAACCTATTTGCTTAGCAGCGTCAATGGTCCAGTTTGGGTGAAGGCAATGGCCAATATTGCTGCATTCTTTCAGTCGGTCATCGCTTTACACATATTCGCGAGTCCTATGTACGAGTTCTTGGACACCAAGTACGGGATCAAGGGGAATCGATTTGCCATTCGAAACTTGACGTTCAGGCTGGGAGTGAGAGGTGGATACCTTACCCTCAACACATTGGTGTCGGCACTTCTGCCATTCTTAGGAGATTTCATGAGCCTCACAGGGGCAATCAGCACCTTTCCCCTAACATTCATTCTGGCAAACCACATGTACCTAGTGGCCAAGGGGAGCAAATTGAGCTCCTTCCAAAAGCTCTGGCACTGGCTAAATGTGATCTTCTTTGGGTTCATGTCCCTGGCAGCACTTGTTGCTGCTCTGAGGCTTATAGCTGTAGATTCCAAAACTTACCATGTTTTTGCTGACTTGTGATGATACCATGCCGACAATTTGTCACTGTCATGGCATCTGAAGTTCCTGGCTAGTCGATTTAAGATTGAGCAATTTCAGGTGCTGAGTAAGAGTATTTCAACTCTCACAATGTGAGGAAATTGGAATACTTTACATCTATTCAGTAGTTTAGGCAAGCATTTGATTCATTTGGTTGGTGTCCATGATTTAGTTTATACCAAAAGCAACTGTTGTTTTTACTGGAAGACTTCATCCTACTTTGAGCAATTATCATTGATCAAACGCCAATACAACAACACCTTTGTGCTAGCTTTACTGGTTAACTTAATCTACAAGTGTAAGAAGTAAAAAATGTTGCTAGCTTAAATTTTTATCATCCCCTATCTTAGGTCATTAAGCTTTTCGTTTTCTCGTGTCCTTTCACATATGCAACCGGGAAAAGGGTTTGCATAGAAGTTCTCCTCATGTTTGGAGGAACGCCCTGGGTGTCTGGGCGACGGAGCCCCAGTCCTGTTCTTATGCAACTCTTGCACTTTGCTTGCAAATTCGTCCCATGGTATCAGACCCTTGTCCAGCTTGTCGATCAATCTCACAAATTTGTATCTGCAACAAACATAGAACAAGAAACTTCAGTGCAAATTCTATTGATGATAAGAGAGTTAGAGACAATGGGGGTGATATATGTTATGGCTTATTCTCCTGTTGCTTACTTGTAAGGGCTGATGGTCTTCCGAAACCCTTCAAATCTCCGGTGACCGGTGGCTACTTTAGCCATGTTACCATCATAGCTATACAGAAAAACATCGCTCTCGATGGCAACGATGTAGTCAATGGCGGCCAGCTGATTCTGTCTATTCCTAAAGCTATCCATCTCCTCTTCTGTTGCTAGACTGAAATGAGTGTGCACATTCGGATACTTCTCCTTGAGTGCATCAAGCCCGTTCTGGCCGTAGATCTCCCCTGCAACTATGTAAATCTGGGTATCAGATGGATAGCCTAAGGCTTCAAGGAACACGGCCACTTCTCTGGGTGTCATGGGGCAATTCCCTTCTAGCCTTTTTGCTGTGCCATTGATGTGTTTGTGCTTCCAGTGGGTTGTGCTTAATCTCATGGCTAATAGATCCTCGTCCTCTGCTTTTGTGAGGTTGTGACTGCATCCAGTGAAAGCTAACATGTCCTTTTCATATCTGCAAGTCATCCATTATTGTTCCAGCTGGTTTAGGTAAAAGCAACAAATTTCTTATAACTCAAGACTTTGTGAATGGTGAAAATGTTCTTTTGAAAAGTGAACGTAGTTTACGACTCGATTTCGTGGACGCTACCTCAAGTGAAGAGCTATGAAACGTTGTTGTTGTTTACCCCGGATCCTATCAACCAGCTTCCTCCCGAGATCTGCAATTCCTTCCCTGAATTTGAGGGCCTCGTACATGGAGCGACAACGGAGTCTTTGAATGGAGGCAGAAAGGCCATTGTTGGCGAGTCGAGAATCAGAGTGAGTGAACCTGATCACCTTATGCTTTCTCAGCAGGCTAGCCATATGGTTTCTGTAATAAGCAGGCTATAGGGGATCCATGTTAGAAAAATTGCAGGCCTTAATGAAGGCACAGAACTTAAAGAAGAAGAAACTCAATACCTTGGACCACGAAACTGGCGGTTTCTCCAATGGCGTTACCCCATCGAGTTCTCGAGGAACTGACTCCACAATCTCGATATCGTCTTTCAGGACCTCAACGAAGTGGCCGACATCGAAAATGTCTTTAAAACCACTAAACTCGAAAATGAGAGGGGGAAAACCAAGCTAATTAGTGACCAATGGTTACATTTTACAATATAAAAAAGTTACCATTTACTCATACTAGTGCTTACCTTGGATCCGTCCAGTAAGAAGAGTGGTCGAGAGAAGGAAGAACCAAAGTGGCATTCATTAGTTTGGCTATGGCTACCATATCACTGATCTGAGGGAAATGAGAAAATTGAGAGATTTCAAATGGGAGAAACAGAATGAATACATTTTCATTATATATTTGTTACCCCAGCTTTCATTTGGTTCAATCCACCATTAGCGTGAACTTCAAGGTACCCATTTGTGGTCGTAGCTGTATTCCCTGAAAGGAAAATACTTTACATGTAGAATTGCTTATTGTCCAAGCATTAACTTTTACTATTCTCATTATACCATGTACTCCTCGAGGGTAAAGTGCTTACTCTCGTCATTTTTTGACCTGTTAATGCATTTGTAGAGGTTTTCACCGTTAGGTTTCTCCCATATGTTTGAAATCTGTAAAAATCGATCAAATCAATCAATAACAGTTGAATATATAAATTTATCATTTCTCTCTTTAATTAAGAAAAATAATCAAACAACTTGAGAAATGATTGGCCATGTCCACCCCTTTTTTTTTCATTGCAAGCAACATAAGAGGAAATGAAATATAGTAGGGAAAGAAACAAACATGTACATAGAACGTAAAAAGTATTGCATGTAATTTATCGATTTAACTTAAAAATAAATGTTGAATACAACTTTGGTCTTTGGGCATGACTTGTTTCCATTTTCCTAAATGTGGGAAGGTATAGAAAAGTCTATGTTCTTTTAACGAACGCAATTATTTAGTGTTATCTTTCGTTAGAGTACTTGTTCATAAAAAATGTAACAAAATTCTTGACATACCAATAGAAAATTTATCAGAAATTGCAAAATTGCAAAGAAAAAGAAGAGTGTTGGTATAAAAAAGTTACAAAATAATGTAATGTTGTGCAACATAGAAGGAAAACAAAAACTCCAAGCACCAATTTGCTTTCTTTCCCCATTTTCTTTAATTTCAATGAAAAAGTTTATGATATGTGTATGCTAACCAAGAACTTCTGCGGCGTCTTCAATAACTTCTCGACACTACCTGTTGTAGAAGTCTCGTTCGTGAGATTAATCTCAAGTCGTTGGCTACCCGCCATGATGAATCCATAACCTGATTCCATGTTTTGGAGGGTGTGCAAGAGGGGGAATTTCGCCAACATTGTTAAGAATGCCATTAGTAACAATACCCCAAACGTGCCCTTTCTCCCCATACGTCGCTTCAGCAACTCCGTCAATTTATTATTCATCATTCTTTTCTCTCCTCCACCAGACGCACCAGACCCTCCTCCGATGATGCCATTATGGTCCTGGGATTCTAAGAAATCCCCAACCCGCCGTCGAGTCATGTAATAAGGTGAGTTGCTTGAACTTTGATCGGACCCCGACATTGTGCTAACATCTATAATGCAAAATGAATTATGTACAAAAATAAATAAAACAAGAGAGATTGCCCGATTGAAAGAAAGAACGTCCAACCAAGAAAAGAACAAAGGGATGGTAAAAATAAGAAGAAGAAAGAATAAGTTGATCAACAGAGAATCGATATAGTATGCAATGTACATAGGTTAAGAAAACCAATTTTTTTTATCCCTCTGTTTACCCCCTCTCCCCTCCCTCCTTTCTCTTTACCCTCTTCCTCCCTCCCTCCAAAATTTGTCTTTACTTTTGCTCGATTTTGAACAAGGACGGGAGAAAACCATCCAAAAGAAAGGATTTACCGCAGCCGCCAATTAGGATAGATATTGAAAGTGCGAAATATGGAACTGTTGGGGATGTATACGTGGCCCATGTGGGTTGAACCAATAGGGCTCAAGAGTAGGGTTTGGGAGGCTGAGGAATTGGGCCCAGCCCAATGGGCCCAGGGACAGAGGGAAAGTCGGCCCAGAGACAGGGAAAAGCTGCCCCAGACGGGTGGGGCCGCAAACCTGACACGAGGCGCGTGCGACAAGTGGGCACCGGGGAGTCCCAGTGTACGGGTCGGAGGACTGGCTGACGTCATGCGCCTGACCCTTCTGAACGGAGTGTCAGATGGTCGAGGCGCATGAGCGCTAGGCCGTACGGAGCATTAATTGCGGGTCTGGCAAGGGGCGAAAGGGAAGGATGTTGGTCGGCCGGGCTTCGGGTATAAATAGTCGGTTGGTGAACTTCATTTACGGAGGTTGGTGCTTCTCTCTAAAAATTACTATTCACTTCTCTCTCTAGAAAAGGGAGCTGACTTGGGCGTTGGAGTGCTAACGAGTCCTCTCCGGGACTCAGGTTAGTAGTGCAGCGTGTAGGTCCGAGCGTGCGGGAAGGATCAAGTGCGAGGGTTCGGGACGCCTAGTTACCGGGCTCGAACAATTGGCGCGCCAGGAAGGGGGCGCAGAAGGCAAAGTGTCATGGAGGCGCAAGGGGCAGGCGAAGGAGAAGGGGGACCAGCGGGGGCCGAAGCGTCCCGGGAAGCACCTGTGTTGTCGGGAGAGGCGCATGCGGCGGTCGACGACGGGGCGCAGGAGACTACCCAGTCCGAGGGAGTCACCCTCACGAAGGAGCATCTACTTCACATAGTCGAGCAGCAGGAACAGGCACTGGAGGCGCTAAGGAAAGAAGTGGAAGTATTGAAAAGAGGAGCTGAGGCGGGCCCCCCGCCGGGAAAGAGACGAGACAGAGAGGACGAAGAGGAGGGGGCGTCCAGCGCGCTAAGGCGCATGGAAGATATGGGGCACTTGACGAAGCACATGGCCTCGGATTTCGACGAGCACAATGGATGGGCGCACCGTCGACAGGGGAGAGCGTGGGGGGTGCGACAGCCCCTCGCGCGGAGCATACTGTCCGAGCAAGCGAACTCAGTCATCCCAGCGCTTCCCACTTACGACGGGGCGGCCGATCCAGAGGATCACTTGAACAACTACTTCACGAAGATGCAATTATACAACAGCTCCGACGCCACCTTGTGTCGCGCCTTCCCTTCGACGTTCACGGGCGTGGTGTTGGACTGGTACCATCAAATAGAGGAGGGGCGGATCGACAGCTTCGAGCAATTCGCGGCGCTCTTTCTTTCGAAGTTCGCCAGCCGGAAGCGCCGGAGCCTCACTATAAGCGCCTTGTTCAAGGTTAAGCAGCGGAAGGGCGAGGCGCTCAGGGACTTTTATGAGCGATGGATGTCAGTAGTCATGGCGGTCAAGGACGTGAAGCCCCCGGTACTAGGGTGCTGCCTGGACGAGTGCACTACAAGCGAAGAGCTGTGCCGAGCGCTGTCTAAGAGGGACGTAACATCGACCGAAGACTTAGATCGGAGAGTGCAAAAGGTGATCATGTTGGAGGAAACATTGGCAGCAAGAAGGCTGGAGAGGAGGGACGTGCGCCCAGAAGAGGCGGAGGTGGCCAGGGCGCTTCGCCCACAGCCCGTTGTCGCGCACCACCCACATTTCCCGGCAAACATTCGGCGCCCGGAACCTCTGCGTTTCCCACCGAAGGGGGGAGGGAACTTCACCGAACTTAATGACTCACTGAAGAATGTGCTGCAGTTCGTGAAGGATAAGGGATACCATATTCGCTGGCCGGGGCCAATGAGGGGGCGCCCGAACGAGCAGAACCTCGACAGGTACTGCGAGTTCCACCGGGAAAGGGGCCATCACACTGCTGATTGTTATCAACTCAAGGCAGAGATCCAAGGGCTGGTGGATCGAGGAATGTTGAACGAGTTCGTGAGGAAAGGGGAAGATAGGACGCAGAGAGCCTTTGCAATGCAAGAGGAAAAGAAGGAGGAGGCGCGAGGAAATGCCCCGGTTGAAGAAGGGAAGGCCCCCATGGAAAAGGAGGTTCTGCCCCCGCCCCCATTTGACATAGAGCCCGAGGCGCACCCGGAACGCGTGAGACTCACGATTGAGGCCATCTCGGGTACGTTGGACCTCAGGCAGAAGCTCGACGAAGGAAGGCGCCTGAAATCGGCCACAGCGAGCGCCCGCGCGGCGGTACATATTCACTTTAACGAAACCCCAGAGGAGGCGTGCCGGGTACCCTCCGTAGAAGCGCTCGAAATCAGGGGGTGGTGGCTGGATGTGAAGTGAAGAGGATGTTGGTGGATACGGGAAGTTCGATGGATGTACTCTTCAGCTCCACGTTCGAAAAAATGCAACTGTCGCCGAGCATGGTCAGGCCAGCGGAGTCAGTCCTAATCGGGTTCTCGGGGGTGCCGGCAAGAGTGATAGGGCGCGTGCGCCTACCGGTAACTTTGGGGGACGAGGCGCACCACGTGACGCACACGGTGGAATTCGGGATCGTGGACTGCCCTTCCCCGTACAATGCGATCCTGGGACGTCCGTTGTTGGCACTCTTTAATGGGGTTGCGTCCTCTTGCCACCAAGTGTTGAAGTTCATTACCCCGAAAGGGGTAGGGATGTCGCGGGGAGAAGCCTCACCGGAAGCACGACTGGCGAAGAGGGCGCGCCTATACAACATTGACGTGCGTCCGGAAGACACGCCCAGGGCGGAAGCAGCTGATGCCGAGGTCCAAGTCCCTTTGGACGCCGAGCGCCCCGAGCGGTGCGTGCGCATTTCGGCGCATACGAGCGGGGAGGCGGCCGAAGCTCTGGTGGGTCTCCTAAAGGAATTCGCCGTTCTGTTCGCATGGAGCGCCAAGGAGATGCCAGGCGTGAAGCCCGAGATCGCGTTGCACCGGCTGTCGGTTGAGAAAGGCGCGCGCCCTGTCCAGCAAAAGAGGAGGCCCCTCTCGGAGGAAAAAGAGGAAGCCCTTCGCAAGGAAGTAGGGAAGTTACTCGAGGCGGGGTTCGTGGAAGAAGCGCGATACATAACATGGCTATCGAACGTGGTGCTTGTCCCAAAGGTGACGGGGGATTGGAGGATGTGCGTGGATTACACGAATCTGAACCGAGTGTGCCCCACGGACGCCTACCCCATGCCGCGCATAGACCAGTTGGTGGATGCGACCGCATACCATGAGGCGCTGAGTTTTCTAGACATGTTCTCGGGCTATCATCAGATCCTCATGTGCGAGGAAGATAGGGACAAAACCGCGTTCGCGACTCCCTTCGGCAACTTCCGCTATAAAGTCATGTCATTCGGGTTGAAGAACGCTGGCGCCACTTACCAACGCATGGTAAATACGGTATTCCAGCGACAAATTGGCCGAAACGTGGAGGCGTACGTGGACGACTTGGTGGTGAAAAGCAAAAGAAGGGAAGATCACCTAAGGGATCTGCGTGAGACTTTCGAAACGATGCGTGCCCACACGTTGCGCCTGAATCCGTTGAAATGCGTGTTTGGAGCGGAGGCGGGGAAGTTCCTGGGCTTCATGATCACAAAGAGAGGGATCGAAGCCAATCCAAGGCAGGTAGAGGCGATCAGGCGCCTCAGCCCGCCGCGGACACCCAACGAGGTACAGGTCTTGAATGGACGCCTGGCGGCTCTGGGGCGCTTCATTCCTCGATCAGCTGACAAGGGCGCCCCTTTCTTCGGCGTCCTGAAGAAGGCCACACGCTTCAAATGGACCGGCGAGTGTGATAAAGCGTTCGAACAGCTGAAGGACCTATTGGTGGCGCCTGCGGTCATGACAGCGCCGCGGAAGGGTGAAACGTTGTACCTATACATAGCGGTCTCCCGAACCGCCGTGAGCGCAGTCCTCATTTCTCGAGGGGGCCCGGACAAGGAAGAGCGCCCCGTGTATTACGTGAGCAAGGTAATGACGGGCCCCGAGACGCGTTACGCGCCCATCGAGAAGGCGGCCCTGGCGGTGGTGGTTGCAGCAGAAAAGCTACGCCCCTACTTTCAGGCGCACACCGTGGTCGTGCTTACCAACCTACCGCTGAAGGGGACGCTGGGCTCAATGGACGTGGCGGGACGCATGGTGAAATGGGCCGTGCAGTTAAGTGAGTATGATGTCAAGTATGCGCCGCGACCCGCAATCAAGGCGCAGGTATTGGCGGACTTCGCCGCGGAGGGCGTGGTGAGTGAAGGAAAGGGGATGGAGGAGGATTGGCGGGTGTATGTCGATGGGGCGGCGAGTCGGGTAGGCGCCGGAGCGGGTATAGTTGTTACCAACCCCATGGGAGCAACTCACGAGGTGGCCCTCCGGTTTTCGTCACTAAAAACGAACAACGCAGCGGAGTACGAAGCGGTAATCGCCGGGTTGCGCAAGGCGCGTGAGTTGGGAGCGCGAAGGGTCCAAGTCTACTCTGACTCCGCCTTGGTGGTGAATCAGCTGAATGGAATCTTCGACGTAAAGGAGGAGGCGCTGGGCGCATACCTGAAGAAGGTGGAGGAGCAGCGCGCGTGGTTCGGGCATACGGAGTTTGTGCACGTACCACGGGAGGAGAATGCCCATGCTGACGCCCTGTCAAAGCTAGCCACGGCCACTGACTTTGAAAAGGAGAGGTATGTGATTGTGACCAAGGAACAATCCCAGGAGGAGCATATGGTGGGAATCGCGGAAGAAGGGCAGGAGGAAGGAGAGAGTTGGATGACCCCAATCAAAGCATACTTGTTACACGGGACAGTCCCAGAGGACGGCAAGCTTGCATGGCAGATAAGGCGTAAGGCCGCAAGGTGCGTGATCTTGGAGGGTCAGCTGTACAAAAGGTCACACTCGGGAGCATACCTGAGGTGCCTCACGAGCGAAG